TTGGAACAGATTCAAAATATTATACAGAATACCCAAGGATTAATATACTTTATCATTTGTTTTTGTTTGGTTTTTGGTCGTTTGGTTTGTTTTCTTTCTAATTAGATTTTAAGTTTGCTGGTTTGTTTCAAATGTAGTACAGTACTATACAGAATAATATCTTGTCTAAGTATCTTGAAAAGTTTGGTAGTATACTTGCTCTTTTGTTTTTGCTTGCGTGTGACCCGTTCACTGGTTGTCTAAGGACGAAAGCGAATGGAAAAGTAAAAACACGCAAAGACAGGGCCTCTGCACTTTTTACAAAACTAGTCGAATGCTCTTCGCATTCTGTCATGCTACTGACGGAGTGTTCTAAAGGGAGGTATTGCTTGGGGCTTTTGCAGAAGTTTATCGGAAACCTTAATTGTATGCTCTGCAAGTAACCTGATTGCGTTGAGCCTACGGGGCATTCGACCCTTAGCACTTTTTACAAACCGGCATTGGAAGCGGTGGGCGTTACTTGCTGACTATCGGTTGGTTTTGTTTGTTGGTTGGTGGTTTAATTGTTGCATGATCAATCTGTTGGTCAGTTGATGTTTGCTCCAGTCATTGGTTGTTCGTTAATTGTATAAAGCCATTAACAATTAAGAAGAAGAAATTTCGCACAAGACAGGATTTCGTATTATCCAAGGTAGCAAGTAGCAATGACAGTGTTCTTATTTCTCCATGGATTGTAAAAGTTTAACAAAATCCTGTCAAGTAGGGCATAATTCATAAAACATTGCAAATCTGTTCTCCTACATGCCTCTCTTTAGAAATCCAAAGCATGCATTTTTTTCGGTGAAAATGTTGGTTCCTTCGCACGAGGCTCCATTACCTCGCTGATAAATAACGCTGAAACAATAACGAACTATCTTCAATCCATTCACATCGTCATCAAGCTATTTCTCAGACTGTCCTTCAAAATTAGTCAGTTTTTCAAACGTCGATACAGTTAGGTCCCTATACTTATGACTAACAAAGACAAATCCATCCAGTGTTTTTCCTTCATGATACCGATTACCAGGGGGTAAGTGAACACCAGTGAATCACACGGGTGTGAGTCGGTCAATTAATTGAATGAATTGCAGTAATATGATCGAGAACAATCCTGACATTCATGACAGGGTCAATAAATGTAAGGAATCATTGATCGGAAACATAGCAAATCCATTGGTTCAGAATGGCTCTGAGTCATTGACCTTGCACGGAGAACGATCGAGTTGTCTCGGAGCCATTTTTGGTATAAACTAAACCATGCTATTGCTAGTTAACTCTGAGTTTACGGATTCAAAAGAAGAGGAATTGATATGAGTTTATTGAATGGCAGTTCATAACTAATGCATCATAACGCAGCAAGAAGACGTTTAAAGAGAAGCCAAAATTTTCTTTGTTTGGTTTTTTGTTCTGTTTTAAAAGAAATTATTAAGTGATGATATTTTGATTTTAAAGCTGTCTGAAATGCACCTTTGAAACAAAACACGTCAATGGTAATGCGAATGGTTAAATTATTATAATGTAGAAATGCAAGGGGGAGGTGGTGGTGCTCGTGTATGGTAGCGATGAGAAGATAAAGAGGAACTAATCTGGTTTGTGACCAACAACGATCGCGTCGATCGACAATGACTCTGACAAGTTATGTTGCACGGGATAATAATGTTGGTACTGCTCACAAATGTTGAGAAAAATAGATGGGTGGCATTGTTGATGATCGTATCAACAGTGGAGATAAAAAAGGGCGAGTTAATGACGACGACAGTGACTGTTTATAGGCCCATGCATTCCTGACGAAATAAGTGTTCTATCGGTTGACTGCAGTATGCAACTGTTGATCGGATTTATGGACGTAAGAACTCAAATGAGGAGTGGTAATTCAGAAAGATGGAATGTAATATAATGCACTGCTATTTGCATGGCTCACTGGTCTAGTTATTATAAAAAACCATCTCTCATCACTGGCTTCATGCTGTCATTATTCTCGTCTGCTTCACTAGTGAACGATCAGATGAAGCAGCAGCAGTTATCCGGAGAAAATCCTCTTAGCCCAAGAATGAAAATAAGATGTTGACGTTGATGCCAAATATGCCAGCATTGTTGAGCGTCTTAAGCCGCTGATAAATATCGTGTGCAATGACTTCTTAAAAGCTTTTGCACAAACTGGGGTGTTAAATTTATCAGAGGACTACGCCAACACTTTTCACTGCTGTTAAAAATGTTGGTGTTATTTGGTGTTACTTTTAATACCCTCCAGTGCACTGTAACACTTATAGGTGTGCAAAGTAACACCAGCGGTGTTAAAGTGGTCATCTGATAACACCAAAAAGAGTTGATTTTAACATCACAGTGTTTGCAGTGTAAAAACGTCTGTATCGAGAGACTTGCCTCTAACATTTTGTGCTCCTCTGATGCGCAAAGCAACGCATAATTTTCATATTAATAATCATAGTATTTCTGAAATCATGCGTCAATTTGAATCAGTTATCAAAACGTCCAAACACAGCGTGTGGCATAATTAATAATTTCGAATACAAGGTTTTTGACTACGTTCCGCGTTTCCAAAGTTTAATTTAAAATATTGTTTACAGTAAAGTACACCGAAATCACTCAGAGTACAGTAGACATGTTCTCTTTGGTAATGTTGAAGCCTATTACTGTGGCGGGAACAAGGATCATTTGAAAGATATGACAACAGGAGTGGAAAAACAACGCAGTGGTTAACGGAGGTAAATGCTCTTAAGTGATCAAATGCTAATGACAGCAGACATCACAACGAATGATGGAAATGACAAGCCATCTAAGCTTGGCATAAAACCAGAATGCGAACAATTCAAAGATGATTGCGTGCAAAGGGAGGGCTGGCCTCGCAGTGGGTATGATCATGCGGCTTGTGCGACACATGCGGCCACCCCCCTGCAACATGAGAGAATGTGACGGTCGGCTGTGCCTCCGTCGCTTCAAGCGGGGAACATTTTTATGTCAAGTCCCCACAGACAGTGTGAGCAGATGGGTAATTTACCCGTTCAGGAATGACAGCCGATGTCGTGCTGAGTCACTGACGAGTAGATCGCTTATTGACGATCGCTAAATGCCGCGCCGGGACAAAATATAAATAAGCACCAGTACATGGACGTATCTCAAGAATTTGAATAAGCGGTGTGTGGCATGGTCAACCGGGATTTCAATTATTAAACCTCGGAAAAGGATCACAGAGCAGCCAATTTCATTAATTTTTACACCAGCTGTAAGTATCTTTCAACACACCATCTGATGAGGCTAAGCTCATCCTTTTCCGGGTTTACATGGACAACTGAAGCAGAATAATTGCTAATTTCGTGATTTAAATTACCATAGTCTGGAACATGTTGAAAAAGGTATTACGGCTTTCAAAACGTGTTTAAGTGAATGAGTGGCGATGGCTTGATCTTAAATATTTCGCAAATTAAAATAACCTCTAAGAAACGTTACACCTTCATTATAATCAGGGGTCATGATCTTACATGTAATATTATGAAGAAAGCGCTGCAATAAAACTTCAGGCATTTCCGCTCGAGGTAGTAAATATTAAGCACCATATTGAAAGCTCAATTTGATTGATTCGAGCGCCAAGCTTAAAGCCACAGAAAGACTATAAACGCTCTGGCAAACAAACGATTTAAAAGCGTGAAGACATTCCAAGAAGGTCTTGAAGATCTTGTGACGTTTACAAAATTAAATCTTCGACCTCTACACTAAGAACAAAATGGTTCAAATTTTCCCGAGGCTTTTTAATTTTATTGGATAGATGTGTATTTTATACATATTTTTCATTGCCGAGGGAAAGCAATGATTTTGGTTTGATTTAAAATTTGATATTTTCAGAATTTATCAGATGTTAAGATTACTATGCAGAGCACTCACCCAATGTCTGCGTGTAAGTTGGATTCCCATCAGATAAATATATGCACATACGGCTCGTAGTGCTTGGTGCTAAATACTTTAGTACCAATCGCAGACAAATATTAAATTAAATGTTACATGACTGTATTACTCACTCTATGTCCAATCTGTTCTGCTTATAGTGTATGTGGCTAGCCACACTATTCGCTTAGGAAGCTAATAGGCTTAGCATAATTACTACAGGAAAAGGGGTTTCGGGTGCATTAAGGGAAAGGTTGCTAAACTTTGCTGGATATTATTTCTACATTTTGCGAGAAGTTGGATTTTGTCAGACATGACATTATGCAAGCAGGGTGAGTTATTTTATACTTACACATTTTACTGAGAAATTTGTTTTAAATCATTATTTTGCGACTGGTGATATAATCTGAAAATGCTCTAACAAAATGCTTAGGCCTATTCCTCCAAACAGAACAGACACCGCGTCGAAGCGCCTTTACAGGCAAATTGTGTCCACTGTGGATTATTGCTAAAGATCCAAACTGTCTTTTTTAATCGACTGAAGTAGCACAGCCATCCATAAATTTGAGCTCCAGTCTCATGTTTCTGTCCTGTCCTGTCAAAGTTTTGATTGATCTGAAGTGAGCCACCTTTTACCAAACACATATGGTAGGTGTCTGTTGAACACAATGTACTGACTCCGTTGTCCACTCTGATATGTCAATCTACATGCTGTTTTTAACATGCCAACCCTGTCTACTAGCTCTTTACCCTTGAAATATTCAGATGTAATAAAATTCCCAGAAAATGATGATCCCGATGAATTTTCAAGCATCAGGAGATTTTCTGCTCTAATTACTATTAAAATCCACTATTCAGTGTTTCTTATACTATCATTACAATACACTGATGCACGACCAGATCACATTCGAGATGTCTACATGTATGCTGCATCATGAAAAACACCATGAGTCACACAACTCCATGAAACCGTTAAAAGACAACGTTTTGGTTTTAAACACAGTCTTGACTCATCCTGCTTCTCGACGTAAAACAGCGTTCATTCATTCAATCAGGTTGAATATTAATAATTACAAAACGCTTACCGTTTACAGAACAAATTGTTCCCTCTCGGCCGGCTCCTCACATAATGCCGACCAGATGCATATCACAAATTGCAAGCAGCGTACATGCAGACAAACAGTGGAAACAAACGGTAGTAATTTGTATTCTAACTCGATTACCCCTGTTTCTCTGCTGGAAGAAAATGGCTTCAGATGGCTGTCCTCTTTCCGATGTTTGCCCTTAATGGAGTCCGGGTTGCTTGTGTGTGAGTGATGCAGTGTGGACGAGCGAGAAGATTTAGGTCTCTGCCGAGCGCATCACTGCGAACTGGCCACGGCACATATAACCACACCAAATGGCACGACACTCCGTTAGTAGCGTCATTACACACAACCAGCAAATTTAATTTGCTCGCTATCGACTTTTTCCCCCTCGGTCGCTGGTTGCCGGCACCGCCGCTCGCTCGGCGGTCAACACCGGGAGGAACGTCGGGTTAATTACATTGTATCGACTGGGTATCTCACCGGTACCCGGCTGGTGTTGCTTTCAGGCATGTCACCGAATCCATTGAGAGCGTTTCCGCTTTCTTCTCCAAATCACAAAAACAAGTCTAGGAGGGGAGAAAATTGTGTTCTCGACAAGTGCTCGCACTAACGCCACTCTCAGAATGTTGTTCAAACTCTTCCTGACCGAGCGTGCCTGATTGTATATGGATTAGTACTTTAAAATTGTCCACACATCGCCGAGTATTTGGTGATAGTCACGAGGGTATTACCCTGCACCTGAAGCTCGGAGAGCCTCCGTAAACAAAAAAACAAAAAAATAATTATAAGGTTTGCAGAAGTTTGATTTTATTCCAAATGCAAAACAGAAAGAAAAAAGATTAAGGTGTGTCGAACGTTTTCATCCATCCATTCTGTTATCAGACACTGGCAGTACTGTGTTACCTGAATTCAAGTTAGCTGGGTGTTATTGGATATAAGTCAGACAGATTGACAGGACCCACACAAAAGTAAATCCATTCAAGTCTGCAGATCTCGACAAAAGCCAATTCTTCAAATAGGTGTAGATCACCAGGGAATAGGAGATATATTTACGCATTTCACATCTTGACTGGGGAATGAGTCTTAATATAACTCCCAGGATCTTCCCTCTCAAAAATGAATAAAAATGACGAATGAGGCTGAAAGTTAGAGCCTGAAATTCAGTGTAGAATTTAAGGAAATGTCTGGAAAAGGTCTCAAATGTACATGTATCTTTTGAACAAAATGCAATGTATAATTAATAGTTCCCCTAAAAAAAATCATTCGAACCCAAATTTTCTTAGTTGGTGAGTTGCAGGAATTTGTGCTTAATCATCATCAATCTCAGACTCAAGTGTTCATTCTTGGATACCAAGCCTGTGTACTTAGTGTTGGGAAAGCCATACACAGAGCTGTATAAATAGAGTGTTGTGCCAACTGCAGACATAGGAGCCAAAATGGTCGTTTAGTATGTGTGCAGTACAGCATGCAGCTGTTGTGTGGTAATTGTCCATGTGCACTGACGCATCATACACAATTTTGGTTCCAACAATTAATTGAATGCTCATGTCGCAACTAAACAGCTCTGGCGATGGAATATAAACAGCGCCCCCAACCGCTTGAAGCGGTAACCTCTAAGCTACATCTGGTCGTGCAGCACGGTACTCTGATGCCCGCATCCATTGCTATTGACATAAGAAGTGCGCGGTACCAAATATGACAAAATAATCATGTAACTAAGTATGTCATCTGTAGACTTTAGAAGAATTATCCCGCTGCTCAACGTTGCAACTGCACTTGGAAAAATCATTGGTAAAAAGTGCGTGTATTTCAGATGTGTACAAAGGCTTTTGGTTGAAATAAAAACGATAAACAAGCACATATTAGTTGGTGCAGTAATACTTAAGTGCATGTACAAGAAACTCCTCTCAAAAAATTGAAGAGGGAAGAAAAAACGATTGCTTGAAAACGGACTCAAAATTAATTTAGTTACCATGCCAGAATGAAATTCTATTTTTCAGTTTGCACAAAAATACACAAAAACGTAAATTTAAGACACGGCAAAAAAGATTAAACAACAAATTCAAATGCCAAATAAATTAAAAATTAAAATCCAGTACGTCTTATATCCAAACACTTGTAAAAATTTTTGAACGTAACATGAAATCATTTTAAACCTTGAAACATGATTTATGCTTAAAATCCCCTTAAAATACTTTATATGAAAAGATAGAGTTACAAAGTAATTTGTAAAGTATTTCGTACATAGCAATTTGATACGGTACCCTCTTGAGGGCGAAACCACTTACCTTTTCGTCCCATTGCCAGTGCTGCTCGGTGTTACCTTGAACTTGAACGTTTGGGTAGTAACCGAAAACAAAAATCAGTCGTGTAGGAGTCTTTTTCTTTGTAAAGGAGTACCTGGATTAATACTGGTCACGTCTATGAGGATAGGTTTGACACGCTTGACATTTACGTTGTTACCAGCCCGTAAATAATTCCAGCTTCTTCTCTCAAACTGAAGAGACATTAATTCAGCGGTTGCACCGTTAGTTCAAATTGCATTTTATAGTGTATTTGAGGAGTGGTTCTAACCACCATGATCCCATATACTTGTACCTCATGGCATCTATTCAACACCAGTAGATGTTATTTACAACAGCACGGAGTATTATTTGAATACATGGTGTTATTTCAACATTTCACGGTGTCCATTCACACAATATGACGCCAACACCGCTCACAACCTGCGCTCATTTTCAGGGAACTCTTCGAATTCATGCCGTTCTGGGAGACACAGCTTTCTCAGTGCGTCCTTCGAGGTTTGTATGTCGCTACTGGTTTTGGAATTCACAAGTAACTATGTAAATAAGCCTCATGTTGAAACTCGTGTACTTCATCTCCAAAATTTGGATCCACGCTCAAATTTAAATCTCATTCATCCAGAACACCCGAGATCTTGATGCTGCAAAATGGATTGAGTAATGGTGGGATGTGAACCCGCTCCCCATACTTCAACACTCAGTAAAGAAGACCATCCAGCGCTTGATGTCTCAAACTAAATTCGACCCATAGCGTATTCCTCCCTTGTTGCGGTGATTACAGCCGGACATTCGTCTGTTTGCCGGGGATATACGCAGTCCCGCTCATTTTCCAAATCAAACAAAACTAAATTAGACGTAGCGACATGGCCTGATGAAACCCAACACCTGACAGGCCTTGCTCCCAGCATCCCGCTTGGTCAGACTGCAACTAAATACTCAAGTTTCACCGTTAGCAGCGGCAAGTCTAGTTTCTTTTTCCAGTTTGGTGTGAACTTTTTTCTTCGCAGCAAAAACGTGTCGACGTGGGGAGAGGACAGGGCAGTGATGGTGAAGCACACACACATCAAGGACGGCTGGAAGTACACGAAGCAATTGCAAGGGAGGGGCCACGTTTATCCCGGGGACATTAATTCAAATTTTGATTTTTTTCAAATTCGTTTAAATTGATGGAATGGCATAGCATCTTCCGTAAGAGAATATCAACATTTACAAAGTTTGGTTTTTAACAAGGCAAGCCCCGCTGTGATCTGAGAGGTTTGAAATTCAATTGCCACTGAAGATGTAAAATGCTTCTGATTATTTCTATTCCCACCACGACTGACTTTTTTCTCCATTTGAACCTTACCATTTCTTATATTTTGACTCAAATATCAACGTGTGAAATAAATATTGCTCCGGTCATTTTATTAAGGGCAATCATGCACCCACTGCTGCTAAATATAAACCCCTCGCTCTCCAGCTCTCTGTCTCGGACGATAAAACAAGGAGGAAAAAAATCTATGAATCTCCAAACCTTGAACTTCTGGTTTCCGCGAGCGAAAATCAAAGACCGCGTGTTTTGGTGCTGACAAGCTGAGTCAACAGAGCTGGGTTCACGCCAGGTAACTGCTGACGTCATGCTTCCCCCCATATCAATATATATAAGCTCAACCCGGATAATTTATTCATGCTAGTAGTTTACCAACTGAGCTTCTGGTGACAGATTGACGGTTAGTAACAACATTTTATGAGAAATTACTTGTGTATCTTTACAAAGGTGATCGTGTTGAATTAAATATGCATTATTCCATTCAGCGAAAAAAACTGAAAGAGAAAAAAGAAAACGAAAACTTTTTTTTTCCCTACAATGCTGTGCTATGGCCCAAAAGTGTTACGTAGGGCATAAAGGACAGAGCATAGACAGGGGACAAAATGAAAGGAAAACAACACCCAGTAAGAATTATCCAATTGTACAGAGGAAAGAAGTGCAATTACTGTCTTTCAAATCAGATAAAAATAAATGCTGATTATTTTTTTTTCCATTGGAGCTGGGCTGAGAATGTGAGGTGAAGCTTCAGAATTTCTTTCTGTTTATTAATTGTGAACAATCGAACATGTCAGAGAAATGAAAGCAGAGTTTTTTACAGAAGGCTAACAACGTACAGTAATAAATGATGCTATAGACCTATAACAGAAAGCCAGTTTTTTAAGACTGCATGTTAAGAAAAAAATCATTTCTTAAACATCCACATCATTTGTCATGAGAAAAATTGTTAAAGTTTATGCTTTTGCAAATGCCTCAAAGGACTTTTCACTATTGGGTTTCTTTCTAATTAGGTTTTCGCTTGCCAATTATTGTCCTCGTCTAATCTTCGCCTTCATTAAACATCTTGTTAGTTCCGGTGACCTTTCGAGAGCAATCGCAGCTGAGGCACCTTCCAGTGTCATTTGGACGGAGATTGCGATTAGGGAGGTTTAGTATAGGCATCAAGTGTGAACCACAACACACATCTAATCGCTGAGTGAATACTGAGTACGTTCCCGCAATTCCTCATGCATGTCACACTGTTTTTCCCCCCGGCTGAGAAAGGAGGACTTCGTTGCTGTTAAAAAGGAGAGGTTCGGTGAAGACACTGTAGCCCTCAATAAAAACAAATATGATAGGCCTATGGCCTGGAATTTATTTTGGTATATTTATTTTTGTCGGCGATTTGACATTGAAATTGGCTACAATTTTCACTCCCTGATTTCTTGCAGATTGTTTTCACATAAGCGAGACTGAAGTCACTTCCTTTTCAATTATTTCAAACACAGCTGCATTGCAAAAATTGTTCCGATATGCCATGCTCTCATTGTTGACCTAATGCACTATGGTTACGCTCTAAAAGGCGGGGGACTACATCTGGAGGGAAATCCATTGATGATAACTCAAAATAAGCAGACAAATTCAATCAAGTGCTTGTTGGTTGGAGTTAAACAAGTGATTAAAGGTAGCCTGCAGAATACAGACTCTCAAGGGAAATTACGTAAATAGAAAAATCATGCCGTCACGCAGTTAATGAAAATATAAGCATAAAACTACACCACACTGGTGGTGTACTGTAATCGGCTCGGCATAATCAAAGACACTCGTCTGGATAAAAGTTCCCCAATGCAGCCATAGGTTGACCCGGCCTTGGGCGCGGCAGGGATCGTAAAACGCACCTGCCGCATCGCAGTGCGAAGTCACCAGCGGGTGAATTTATGGTCGACCCATTAGTGGAAATCAAGGGGGTTGTGAGGTTTTTTTTTACTATCCATGAAGAGAAATTCGCAGTGCAGTATGGGTGAACGTGTTACGGCAGCCTCGGCCTAGGCCAGTATTAAGTCCAACTACTGAGGGCCTCCGGGTTATATTTTTGTTAGGAAGGTTATTTCAGTCATAAAATGACTGGCCACTGTCACTTCAAATTGCTGTCGGGCTTGCTAAGGATGTACGTGTAAGGATGACGGGGAGAGTCCATGATTGTGTGTGATGGTGAGGGCTGGTAATCGACCACTGAAAAGGGTGATAATATCCAGCGCAACGGTCAACTGAGAGCAACTGAGTCAGTATGGGTATACTCCCCACCCCCTTGGGCCTGGGAAGGAAAAATATGATCAAGCAACCTGGAATTGTCCCTGCAGGAAAACGAGGATAAAATTTTAATCCCAACAAACAAAAAGATGGCTGACATTTTAGGGGGCTATTTTAATGACACTCCGACATTGGAAACTCATGCAGAAACACCTCCCCAACCGTTAACGATGTTCTAGATGGGCAATCCCTTCTCAAAGCTTCTACATTGCCAGACCGCAACGCCTGTCTCTTATCTGTCCGAACAAACTGCTTCATGATGTAAAAAATTCAAGGCAAATCCTAAGCAAAGTCATGGCATACTTGCTTTCAAAAAACAGACTACATGTACTCTCAACAGAGGGCGCACTGATTTTCACTAGAGAGTCAAGGCAGTGGCCACAAGATCTCTTGTGTTTCGATCAGGAAGGAATTTTTCCTCCTGGAGCAATTATTCACGCACACTTTGCAAGTATGGACAGAATAAAAGCAGCAGTTGCGATCTGTAACTCTTGGGAAATTCATATTGGTTCATTTCATTCAGACCTTGAACCTTAAGATGACGCTAATCAACATCTATTCTTAGTTATGCTACGTCTGGGTTGACCACTAGCAAAATTTTCTGTACCGTAGTTCTACCAACAAAGAGAAACAAGTACAATTTTTTTAAAAATCTAAATAGCCAACGGTGGCAAAATAGTGTCAAAAGAGCATCTACCAACGGCATATAGGCCTGGAAGCAGTTATCACAAGCCTGTTCAAGGCACCCGGAGCGCCATTATTGACTTTGCTGCTGTCTGCCTTAAAGATAAAATGAAATTTCAATTCAATTTTTCAAATATGTATTCTTTGGTTTTCGCGAATGTGATCTAAAAGCTCAGCTAATTTACCCACAGCCCCCCCAAAAACCCTCCAACCGTTTTGTGCGGCATGCTTGATCTTGATGGTCAAGATAACTTTAACAGCGAAATGACGTCTAAAGGCGTCTTTCCTCATGCACACGTTATCTCACTCTCACGAGTTCACTCACACGTCGACTGCGCATGTGTTAAGTTGCGGAGAGTGTTCACTGAAATTATACAACAGCGAATGGTGCAAACAGACATGGATTCCAACCGGTCTAAAAAAAGTACTGACAAGAAGCCCTGAAGAAGGTACTCATGCAGTTACCGAAAACTCGGCAATCACATAATCTAGAGCACCAATTTTATATTATATTCTTGTCAATATTCTGATCACGGTGCTACGCAGCCAGTCCATATTTCCCTTTAACTAATCTTAAGAGGCGCCTTTAAAGTGGAAAGGCAATATTAGCATCCGTGTTACCAGAGATAAACATCATTCACTCACAGTTCAGTTGATTGCCGGACACCGCACGCCAGGCCGTACCAGGGGTTTGACATTAAGCAAGTACCCTTTGCAAACCTGTCATTTTTATTTTGCCTTTGACAGGTCAATCCACAAGCTATTAATCAGCTCTCCAGTCTTCGAAGTTGGTGCTCGTGAGCAAGGGCATGTTTCCCTCAGCATGTTCCAAGCACCACCAGACGACGCACGCGAAACCAGTCAAAAGGCATACACAATAGAGTCACCTCCAGAAAAGGTAGATATGCCAGGGGCGGATCCAGAGGGGTTTCAAATTGTTTCATGGGGGGCTACTACATGTAATTGTTGCCATTCGTGCAGCTATTTAATCCCTTTATTTTGCTCTTTACTGTGCACGCAAATTAGACCCCTTCGTGCATGACTAATCAAAACGTTTATGCAGTTAGGGTCTTCCAACCTCTATCTGCCTAGAGCAGAAGCACACCCTCATCGGTTGAAAAGAGCCATGTTGGTCGGGAATGTTCATTTTGTCGGTAGCGATGCTATCGTAACGCGTGCATTTCCTAATCGTTCAGACAATTCAGTTCCGATCAAAAAGCCGCTGTTGCTAAGAAAAGTGCGCCCTCTCGTGGTCCAGCTCGAAGCTCATAGAGGTTGTGCGTTAATGCGTCCTCAGAGGCAAGGTTTGTTTACTTCGATAGGCTCGAGAAAACCTGTGGCACATTCATTGTTACTAACTTAAACTAACCAAAACAGCTTCAGAGACACCATGGAGACGCCAGCAACGCACGGCCCCTAAAAAGTTGTCATGTATGAGATGTCAAACTCCAGTTGGGGGTCATAAGGACGCAATCCTTCGTTAGATCGCACTTGACCCTGCGCTATTCCTAAGCATTGACTGAATCACACAGTTTGGGATGTAACCATGTGCAGGGTGCAATGTACGTGTCATGCGAATTGCCATTATTTGTGTATATTTTCAAAAAGATAACACATTCATTGGTCTCAAAAAGTCAGTCTAGAGGGGACCTTTCACACTCTTAACTAACTTCCTTATATGATTGTTCTATAAGATATTGTTCTGAGCCTAGAAGTAAAAACCCAAGAACCACGACCATTTCCGCGTTGTCAAAACCATCGCTCTTGCTCAGTCTCCAACGTGTTCACCACTCATTTAACTAAACACGGTGACCCCAACCTTGCACCTGGGCCCAACCCTTTCTTTACAGTTACTAACCACGCTTCCTTTATGAATTCGACGGCTTTCAGTGTTGCTTCATAATCAGCTTATGCAACTCCCCCAGCAGGGGAAAACGAGTGGTGTAGAGCTCCCAGTGACACCATGCCTTTAATTAGCTACACAAAACGTGGAACTTCGCAAATCCAAGTGCTGATGACTATTTGTATCATTTACATATATTGAAAGGAACCAGGAAATGATTTTTCTTAGAATCACTTTTTGTGTATATCTGTACTCTTCTTCCATGCAAAGTATGAAGATTGACATCTTTTTTGAGTTACATGAACTGAACGGTGCACTTTTTTTTCAAACATTAAAAATTGATCAAGCATTTCTGGACAAGTGAGGGCGCTTTTGCTTTGATGTAAATCCAGGAAAACATGGTTCAGGATGCATGTTTTCAATGTTCAAATTGTGAACCCCAAATTTGCTATCTGGGAACATTTCTGAGAAAAGGATTTTTGCTGGATTATTGCCACATACTTACACAGCAATAAATTGCCAAAGAAAATAAAATCTGTCATAGCAGTGGTTAAAAATCTGTGCACAAATCAGTGCAACATTGAGATTCAGTGCCTTGGATGACATCATAGTTTTGCTCATGAATATGCAAATAGCATTAGCATAAAAACCAAAAAAGCATCAAAAATGGGTAACAATTGCAAAACGAAAACTTAAAATGAGATTAATTGAAACCCAAAGATGCAATTTCAAGGGTTTTTAGTAATATTTAAAAAAAATTCTATTTCCTGGTTCCTTTAAGGTTTAATTAAGTTTCAGTTACATTATAATATTACAAATATATATCCAAACCAGCCTCTCATTCGTGACAATAATTTTACATCAATCCATTATGAAATACAGGCTCCATGTATCATCATGCGTGCAGTCCCGTAGCTTTCACAATTTTCTAGAGAGTGACGATTTACCTGGTCAGCATTTCGCTCTCCAGGTATCTACCTCATGTTTGTAGCTGTTAATAAATTCAAACGGGCAGAATTAATACAATTAAAACGCATACACTGATTAAACTTTAATCACGAGTTTGTCGAAATGTGGCGACACTTTGGCTTACGTTGAAAATCATGTTTGATATGAAACGTTTACAATCATATAAGAACATCAACAATGCTATCACCAATTCCAATCTTTATTCTCTGACTTGTTACGGATTGTAATATCTGAGTGAAATAATGCTTACACGAAGCTAAGTTGCATGACAACGTATCTGTCTAGTAACAATAAACCTGGGACCACAGGCACAGTAGCAATTACATCTTTGACAACAGTGAAGGAATCCTGGTTATTAACCTACATCACGCCCTCTGGCGTTTGACCATCATTATTGTAAGCACTTCGCATGCTTTGGTTCTGTTTACACTTTGTAATTTCTGTTAAGTTCTCTAAACACCAGTCTTAATTAATGAAGCCTGTACGTCATTACTTTTACACTGCTTTTATGAAAGTTTTCCTGCAATATAACTTAATAAGCCATCTTGATAATACTATAAGATAATACTATAGTTGCTTTAATACTTTCCAAAACTTAATACTTCTACAGCTATAAGGGATCATTCACTTTATGTTGTTGCTACAAAACGCTTAAAACTGGATGATCTCAGACAAATATTTTTCAAACAATGGCCTGAATATCAACCGTAAACTAATCGAGAGTTGAGTGGTTGGATTGTCCCTTAACTGTAAATACAATTTGTCATGACGTTTATTGGTTGGTTGTCTTCACTGATTTCTCAGACATCCCATTAGGAATGCGCTCGAAAGGTTTTGCTATAAATCTTCGAAAATGCAATATGGATTAACTTCGATATATCTATGTATTCTGTTGGAAACATTGTGGTAACATTACACAATGAACATGCTACAAAGTTGTTTACTGGCTCCAAATACATTATACTACAAATTGACCAAAAGACAGGAAAACTAGCTACTAAATCTCATTAGGGCAAAAACATTTAGAGAAAAACATGTAATATTTGACTTGCGACTGTACAAATTTTGTGGCTACCAGCTTGTCATGAGTAATATCGTACATGGACATCCATAAGGAAGAGTAACTGCATGCTCCTTTAATGAATTATTTAATTAAACCTTATAGTTTCAATAAATAGCATAATAATACTGCTGACTTTTGTTTTGCTGTGCAGTGATTGAAATGTCTCATTCATATTCATCTTTTTGAAAGAGCCTCGCTGTGTCGCTCTGCTCGGTGTCGCTCTTCACCATCTCCTCGACGGTCGGCGTGAACCTTTGCCCGGTTGCAGCCGGGGCGCCACTTGCCTCCTCTTTCTCGCCCCGTGCCTTGGTTCCACTGCTGCCACCAGTTGGCAGGCAGTGATCGTACACGGCGCCCTCCAGAGGCATGTAGTCGCACTGGGCCACCAGCATCTTGTCGAAGGTGTTGAAGAGATTGGTAAAGGTAGGCCGGTCAGACGGTTTCTCCCGCCAGCACTGTCTCATGATGTCATAGCTTAAGAAAGGAACGTGAGAATCAGTAATCAACAAACACAAGGTAACAAAGGAACATATATAAGCGAGCACAATTTAATGAACATATTTTTCATTATGTGCATTCTATGTGCCGGTCTCTTTGAATTAAATCTGCCAAATTTAGGGAACATAAGCACGTGGATGTAACAGGCTTTGTGCACGTGTACAAGTTGTATAAATGAATACCGGCGTTTCATAATAGTGCGCCACCAAGAGTTTGCAACACCCTGGCTAATCACAATGCACGAAATGTGTCGACCCACATGCATTGCCACAGCCGCCGGTCGACACGTCCGGACGCGTCAACCCACTGCAAACTCTTGGCAGCGCACTATTGTGAAAGCCCACAATCGCTTAGCCTAGGCTATGGGCGAAGTAACAGCACTTGTGGTGAACGTTTCCGATTAAAGGAACCAGGAAATAGAAATATTTTATAAATTTTACTAAAACCCTTGAAATTGCATCTTTGGGTTTCATTTAACCTTATTTTGATTGTTTGTTTTGCAATTCTAACCCATATTTTAATTTTTTTTTTTGCTAATGCATAGTTGCATATTCATGAGCAGAACTATTATGTCATCCAAGGCACTGAACCTCAATGTTGCACTGATAGGTGAACAGAAAATTTCTCTAGATTTTTTTAACCACTGCTACCTCTTTTCCAGAAATATTTGGTCAGTTTTTAATGTTTGAAAAAGTGTATCGTTCAGCTCACATAACTCAAAAAAGATGTCCAACAGTCTTCATATGTGGAAGAACAGTACAGAGATACACAAAACGTGATTCTAAGAAAAATTCATTTCCTGGTTCCTTTGATAATGAATATCTGGCATATGCACTCACATGTCTTGAGGACAGCAGTTGGGCATTTCCATGCGGTAACCAGTCTGCAGACGACGGATAACCTCTCGTCCGTCCAGTCCGGGGTACGGCATGCTGCCTAGGGTGTAGATCTCGTACAGGACGATACCAAAGGACCACCTGAGACAAACGACAAACTCTATGAACGACCGAGGCCACTTTTGACGGCCACCTTCATTTGGGGGCGACGGAGCCACAACTATCACGGGGCTAGAGACAACCCAAGAACGTGCCATAGTGCAGGCCAATTTGTAGAAGGATGAATTAGGTATTTTAATTGGGTTATAATTCAGGCGTCAATGTCGGCCTACCTTCATCTCTGCTGAAGTGGAGTTTGCCAGCATTAAAAGTATAAGTTGAAAAACTTTTCCTCAAGTGTATCATACATCATTAAATTCTGTTGGTAGAACCGTTGAGAAGATTGAAGTCCCTGAACAACATAGTAAACTCTTACTGTCGCTAGACAAAAACACAACTTTCCATACGTACACGTCGCTTTGTATGGTGCATTTCCCCTCCAGATTTGTCTCGAGGCTGACCCACTTGACCGGGCGCTTGCGCTGAGGCGCCAAGCGTTTGTAGCCGTTCTGGTAAATATCGTCTGCCAGGCCGAAGTCGGAGATTTTGATCACAAGGTCCTCGCCTACCAGGATATTGCGAGCTGCAAGGTCGCCGTGATAGTAACGGGTGTTGGACAGGTATTCCTTGAGGGAGAGAACACTCCACTTCAAGTTATATAACTCGCAACCTGCTTTGAACGCAACAAAAATTCACACCCACCGACTCCTCCTGAACACTAGGGTAAGCTCAGCAGACGGACGACCATTTATCAACCGCTGTTCGATTTTGCCTGGTACCAGGGATATAATTTTGTACACAGGTTACCAGGGAAAATCAACCAGTATTCGACAAATGGTTGTAATTTCTGGAACTTGCCCAAGACTGTACCCTCACTTGATGTCATTTCGACCAATGGGCTTTCTGTTCCCTATAAGCGCTACACATTTTCATCTTCGTACCTAATTATTTCAAACGTAGTAACTATTTCACACCTGTGACGTTAATCATGGCAATCACATGTACTGTATTTGCCTAACCGTATAGTTTGAGTATCTAAGAACTACTTCACACGTAATTAATTCTTATTGGATGGTTATTATGAGGGGCTGAGATCTGATAAATGATTTTTAAGGAAAACGGGAATTTTCCCCCTTGTATAGATCGCTTTCTGTAATATAAACCTTCCACAGTGACCTGAGACAGACAGTCTTGGCCACGGGCAGATTTCAAAGTGCTGCTTAAGAACAAACTCTGCTTAAGTGCGAAAAAACCTTGTTTAAAACAAAGGTTACCAGGTCAAACTCTATCTGATTGTCATGCTAACCAAACGACGGCTAAATACGATTCCAAAACAATATACATCACGAGGAGCTTTGGCTGTTGACCTGATTTATCAAGCAAGGTTTTTTCGAGCTTAAGCAAATTTTGGCCTTAAGCAGCTCTACGAAATTGGCCCTACAAGTTTATCTGGAGATCGTATAGGCTGTTGATACTCCAACCAATCTTTCCTCCAAATCAAATGGATTGGACATGAATGTTTACCATGCCTCGCGCAATTTGTCGGGCAATCTGTATCTTGTTCGTCTGTGACAGCACGTAAATCAAATCGTTATCGGGCCGGTTTTCCTGTTAAAAGAAAAAAAATGAAATGGAAAACGCAATTATTATACCAATTAAATGTCCTGTACCAAATCCTCTACCGTGATCACTGGTGCAAATTCACAGAACCAATAAGCACTATGTCATGTGCAACACCAGCACAACACAGCTCGAGATAAAAGCTCCTTGAACCGCAGAGGGCACGTTGTTACATTTGCGTTGATTTCTTTTGGGGCCTGCATTGTAACTGTGCAATGTCACTTGTTTAATAGGCCCTTAAATAGTGATGACCAAATAACTGATAAAATAATTTTTCACGGTGTACCCACCTCCCTGCACTTCCATAAGAAGTGCAGTAGGTCTCCATATTTCATGAACTCGGTGATAAGGTAGTATGGCTCATCTACCGTGCAACAGCCCAACACCGAGAGGATGTTAGGATGCGCTCCAATCTCAATAATCAGCTTAATTTCATCCAAGAAGTCCTCCTTCATGCACAAACTCGCATTGCCTGTGAGAAACCAGCACTATCAAATATTCATTACATTTATTTAGGATGTCTAATTGTCATTTGGATATACTGATTTTTGTCTTGTGGGACAGGTTACTGATTTGAAGAATTGTGGCTCAGGAAAAAAGTTTGACCAGAAAAAGATTGTTGCATTAACTGTGCAGTTTTTGTGGTGCTTGGGTTAGCCTAAACTTCCCGACCTGAATTTTTGGGTGTGGAGGGAACTGTTTCCAAGGGTAACAATACCTATCTCTAAAGTTAATAACCCAATATCTAGATTAAAAGAGCACTGTCTAGCAAAGAAAAATGGTGCAATACAAAACTTCTTTGTGGTATTAAAAAACAAGACCACAGGGTGCTGAATCAACACCATTCCCGGATTAAATCCCACTATGCTAGTTCAACATGACACGGCGTCAACTCAACACCCCCCGGCTGTTACTTCAATACGACACTTTGTTAATTGAGCGTCACACAACGTCCATTCAACACAACACAGTGTTTTTTTTTTCAACACTGCATAGTCTAAGACCGCAGTCTGTGCAGTGTAGGGACGCACACTTGAGACTCTTGACGGCAACGGGCGAGTATTCTTCCTTGTTGTAGACGCCGAACGCATAGCCTTTGTAGACCACGCCGAACTGGCCGCTGCCCAGCTCTTTCTCCAACTTCAACAGTGTCCGGTCTAGCTCCTTGACTTCGAACTCAGGCAGACACTCCTTGCAGTCGGTCTCTGATAATATTAACCGTACAAATGGAAAGGTCCTCTTTTGATCAATATGATAAGCACGGATCAACGCTCTCAAGTTTTCCTTAAAAATGAAACCACATTTCAGAGTTAGTTTTATGAAGAATATATTTTTCTTTCTCATAAAACAAATTTGATCAAAAATATATATCTCGTGAAAACGATCTGTTTCTAAAGCCAGAAATAACGTTCCTAAATAAAGATCTCTTAAGAACGAACTGGAGGATATATGTCTCGAACAAACGAACTTTGAAAAACAATTTCTTTCAAAAAGTTCACATTTGGAAAATATATACTTGACGGAACCTATGGGCTTTCCTCCACCAGTATTTGTCTGAAAGCCAACTTGCTAAGGATTTATAGGATTGAAGTGGCCCGTGATAAACTCGATTTCAATCAATCTATCAAATTGAAATTTGTTTCCCTTAATCATATGAACGCAATTTTGAAATATTCTACCAAGGTCAAACGGCTGAGTGTTTTAGCTAATTTACTTTTCTTTTGAAGATCACAAGTGCTTCGTCGCCGCCTTGAATTTCCGCCATAGCAGTGACACACCATATTTAAGGGCAGATCTACAACCATATTTTCGTGGGGCATTTTTGTATAACCTCTTATGTCCTTTCTGAGAGATGGGGTTACATTTTAGAGCTTTTTACACGCTTTGGGAGGAAGGGAAATGAAACTCACTATCGCCTTCCTATGATTAATTTTCAAAAAAAGAAACGAAAAAACCCCCAAAAACTCGTTTGCTCCTTTTTCCTCGGGGATGACTCCCTCTTACCCCATAGATCCACCGTTGACAATTAAATGGTTTGTACAATATACCCCTGCGATGGGATCGTCTTTGTTGACAAGGCTAGCCAACTCAAAGTGCTCACCATTCTTCTCCAGACTTCCCTTGGGGTGATACATACTGATCTCTTCCTCCCGTGTGCGGATGAACACCGCCTTCTTCAACTCATCCTCCTTCTTCTTGCGCCTGAAACAGACGCAGGCCACGCACACCATGAACAGTAGAAAGGCCAGGGCGGCGCCTACCGCCACTGAGGCGGTCACCAGCATCGAGCCCCCGGCGGGCGTGCCTTGGGTGGGTGATTCTTCACTTCTGAGCACGGTCGAAGTGCCGAAAGTGCCGCGACTGCCGCTTGAAGGTGTGGTGCCGAAGCCCTCACTCACGACTTCGTTGTTGGGCGGCATGGGTCTGGCAGGGGGGGTTGGCCTCGGTTGAGGTGCAACAGCCCCCTGAGGCGCCACGGACTCCCTAGCTACGTGAAAAAAACAACACAGGAATTTTTCCATGATGTCATAATAATTCGCCCAAGTGTAATGTCAAACTGGATTAATGGAAGTATGCCTATAGGATGCCTAAGTTCACCAAAATTTCCAGTGGGGAAACCCGCTGTCTGGTTAACGGTCCCCGTTAGTGTCCATTTAATAGTTACACGGGCAAACCATTAAATCAATGAAGTTTGAGTGAAAATCAGTTCTTTTTTTACAAATTTTCGTTCAATGTTATTTCTACTTGAGCAGAGGCACAATTGACGAAACTACCCATTAAGCAAAGGGGTTAAATAGTTCACTGTGTTTCTTTATCTACTGTAAGTTAAACTGCACACTTATTCTAGTGATACTTTTTGTTCGTCTGCACTGTTTAAATCTGGTCTAATTTGATAGCCGAACTCTGTACGAAAAGTCCACCCATCGATCGCATGACGTAGGTCAGAGAACAGGGGCAACTATTGGGCATGTAAGACTTGGGTTGTGCTCGAATTACTTGGATTGAAATAGAACACGTGACAATGAAAATGCATTAAGCCTGTCATTGGCTTCTACGTGGGAAGTGTCATTTATAGTCGCAGCCATGTAATTTGGACTTGTCACAACAGTGCGCAAAAGAAGAAGAGGAGTTCATTATTTCTGGAGTCAAAATTTTAAACGACACACGGTCATTTTATTTGTGGTAAAACTGTCCAGTACCTGCAGGTCTGTTTCGAGGATCTTGCGCTCCTGCCGTGTTAAACCGTATCTGAGCCGAAGAGCCGCTCTTACCCTCATCGTTGATCGTCACATAAGGTGTAACCTGTTGAGAAATGATACACTAACAGTTTGTCCCCATGGGCTTTGGGGAAAAACGCCAGTCGAGGAAAATTTGAAGTGGAAAGGGGGGGGGCACCATTCAAAGCTTAAGGTGTTTTAAAAAAAACTGACCATTTTAATTCAATTTTTAGTTGTGAAAACTGTTGATTTAACAGCGCAATGTTCATTTCAATTATCTGCTCTTTTTCGTTCCTTTAAGTGCCACTATTCCCTTCTGATATCTATGTTCGACATACCAACAAATTACTTACGACTTAAATGCTCTCTGACTTTTACTTTCAAAGTGAGTCCGTATATCACTGCTGATATCTACAGTGCCGAAACTGCGGCAGTGATCATGGTCATACATGTCGGAGTCGACAATAAAATTGACGTAGGATATATGATTAGTGATATGCCCGCATCCCTTCAAAAGCTTGAACTGGATGCCCAATGTGTACCTTCCCTCATATTGACTCGAAAAGTCAGTGCAGTTTATTCACAAACACATGAAAGGGGATTGCCGTAATTGGGATTGTCATTCGCTTTCTCTTTCAAATATCAGACAGGAATGCCTCTCTTTCAAATATTAGACAGGAATGCCAAACGCGTTGAGGTCTCGCTTCATTAACACTAGTGATTAACCCAACTTAAAGCGGTGCTTTGGGCGACAACAGGGACAAGGACAGTCAACAGTCTAACCATTCTGTAATTCTTTCGGGAGTTGCGAGTCAGTCTGTCGGCAAACGAGGCCGACCTTGTGTCCCCAGTATTCCTGGTCATTTTAGCAGCGTTTGGTAAATCAGACGAGTTGTGTGAATAGCTTTAACGAATGCGGCATCGGTTTTTTTTGCACTGTACCAGTTAAGCAAAAAGCAAAACGTGACTAATGTTACAACGGTGACTCATTCGTAAAGCAGCCTGCAGTGCTAGATCAGTTTGCAAACAATCATCTTAATAATACTACGTCTACCATGGAGGAAATATCATGTCAAAGTTTGAGCTTTTTAAAAAGAGTCTCCTTATTCGTGTGCTTTTTAGACACCGTGACATTTTGGAAACCTAACCTGCAACTCATATTGGTGATCTGGCGGATCAGGGAGAGTCATGTTGTGCTCGTATCGCCGAGATGTGTTCCACGGACCAGTTTCCTGTATCAAAAGATCAAAGTCTGAATTGAAGTCCTGTTGACCTGAAGAAACGTTTGAACCTAATGTTATCCAATCAAGGACGCAACTGGATATTCTGCAGCAGGAAATATGTGTAAATTTGAACATCAGACATCAGACATCCAACGATTGTGATAAATGTAATTTTGTTTATTTGAGAGGGGTAGAGATTTAGAACGAAATGAAGTTCTTAAATGTGGAATATCACTCGGCGTCACGAAGCTGCACTGAGCTATGCGTCTCCGAGATATAAACCAGGGTGTGGCAAGAATGTGCCATCTACGATCCGACAGGCAAACACTTCTTTCCACCATAGCAACTTCTTATTATTATTTGCAAGGCTAACTGTTTTCCCTCTTTTTCCAGAAGGCTTTTCCCACTGGGTTATTCCAACCTACAAATAATATGAATGAAGTTGTGGTGCCCGATGGAAATAGCCATTGAATTTATATATGACAACCATCTATCACAAGTTTTTAATCTACTTGTCATAAACCAGAGTGTAATCCTTAATTTATACTTCAGTATAGTATTAAAACGATAATAATAACGACCACACGTCTTCCACTTAGTTATTTATCGTAACATCGCATTGAATTGCATTGTCTGAATTGCAAGGGGCAGTATGGCACTAATCATTAAAGCTCAATAGGTGGTGTAGTTAAAACGAGAAACAGGTTCTTTGAAGTTACAAAGAGCAATTTCTGATAATTTCTGGATATCAATCAAACGAAATGAATAAAAGGGATTGGTATGCCTGTCGATCTCCCCCCCCCAGGTTGTAAATTAAGTGTCATGAACTCATTAAGAACCTCTGGTAAGTCGACTTCAACGGGTCATGGGTTGAAGTTCCACCCCTGTACACCTCTTGTTATTGGTCAAAGCTCTCCGGTAACACCAGAGTATATGTCTGCGGTAATGAGCAAAACTGAATTCTGGTTTTTAAAATTTGTATCTCCCCGTTAGAAGTTCCACCAGTAGTCAAGAATAATTTAATTAAAACAATGCGAACTGGCGGTTGAAGGACATGCGCGTTGTCGTGATTAGACACCATACCTGCGTTGCACGAACTTGATTTTTTCTGCCGGTCTGATCGCTGACGTGCTCGTTAGACTGCTTGTAGTTCACACCGTACATCCGAATTTCACCGTTCGACTGTATGGGTCTAATCCACGATGAACGAACCTCGATTTGCCCGTCCTCTTGCCGCGTGATGCCGTCTATACGCAAATCCACAGGTTTCCCGGTAGTCTGGACAGCTGAATGACAGAGAAGAGTGAGTTAATACGTCCACAGGTTGAATTATATGGCTGGGGTACATTCAGGTCAAGAGCAGATCCAGATGAGCGGCGCTGAAAACTGCACGTGTATACAAAATTAACGTGTAGCGCTAATTCCTATGCAACTTGAAGCACGAACTCTGCATATTCAATATTGTAACACAACACGCAGTTTGAACATGAATTTAATATTCATAATATAAACTCATTACATTTAATTGTGTCATCATGTTATCCAAGCCTAGACCAGGAAAAAGTGATCTTGAGAGGCGGGTATCGAGACAAAGATTACTGCCCAAGTGGAACACTGTGAAGTCCACTCTGGGCAAAAACCGATTGTTAGCTCAGCTGGTCTTGAAAAGCACCAAAAAATATGAAAGTCTTATAATGTAAGTGTTACGGCACTGTTCACCCTTCCCAAACTTTTCACTCCATCTTCCTTCAATGGGAGGGGGTAAAGTTGCAATTTGTACTTACACGGTTACAAATGCTTCATTGAACGGCTCGATAATATGTGAAAATCAATTACTTTGACAACTTTTCAGTGTTCATAATATGGTAGTATCAGTGAACCAAATGTTTATGGTAAGTATAAAAATTCTTGAGAGAAAACACAAGCTGGGTATTCGTCAAGTGTCTAACACTACGATTAGGCTCAACATACACATACGGATATATCATTTTTTCTCTGATTATAAGTCTTTTTTTCCTTCTTTGTGCAGACACATAATTGTTTCTGATGATGCATTCCTTTCAAAGCCGCATTTTCGTTTTCATTGGGTTTCAGATCAATGAATATTTTCCACTTTCAAGTATTGTTTCTTTGCTACAAGTAGCGGAGAAAATGTCTTTTCCAGGTTAAATTATGAAGCAATTGATTTCCAGAGCCACTGCCTTTTCGGTGCAGACTAGCTCACCCAATGCCCTTTGCATCCCGTTCCATTCCCACCTTACCTTTCCCGCGGCAGAACGCCTCGCTTTGTGTCTCCTCGTAGCAATCTATCCAAATATGATCATAGACGAGGAAAGGAACAGAAAAGAAGAATTGATGAGAATGGGGTGTGTTTGTGGATGGAAAGCGTGACAATTAAAGAGTCTTCCTGATTAAAAAGAAGATGAAGCGCGCCGTTGATTTTGTCGAGTCTTGACGACAGCATGTACAGTTTATATGATGTTGTAGTAAGTTGAAAGATGAAGCATGCGGTTTATGGCGATGTATTGTTAAACTCACGGAAGGAAATCTAAATTTGAATAAAAATTGCAAATGTGGTCGGCCTAGCAGGTTAAACATCAAGCGGAAAGGTCTCACAAATGTCCCGAACTGCTGAAAGAGAACAAGGAAATTGTTACACACTTTCATTGACCACATCGGTTGATTTTAGAGGCAGCGGTGAAGTCCCCACTCTTCTGTTAATTATAGTTCAAGTTCAAATTCAATAGAATTCTCCCACATTTGTCTTAATAGCCCTCAGTCACGCGTTGCTAAATTAAGAAAAACTACAACCAAAAGCTTGAAACATCAGCGAATTGCTCAAATATGAAGCTCATCCAAAGGGATAAAAATTAGGGTGAAAATACGGTTTCTGGATGTGACATAATAGTGCCCGAAACTGGCTATTTCCCAGTAAAAAGGTATAGTCAATCATCGCAAGATGCATCCATTAATCCGATGTCACGTGACAGAAACAACACACTGCACGACTCAGCGGTAAATCTATGCCGCTTTTTATAAGCACCACTCGACAGAGGAGGGTGTATACTGGAAGTTGTAACTTCACCTTTCTGTAAGTATTGTTTTGGCGACCTTATATTGCGATTTCTGTTGCTTTTAAATGTTTTCAATAATTGGTGTTAAACTTTCCCTTCCTTTTTGTCCCATTTCTTTCTGTATTGTGTCTGACAACGTGCCTCTCAAGGATTTTTCCAAGGTAGATCGATTCGAGTCAAAGACCCACTCCGTTTAAACAATGTACGCGTGCGCATTATGGTCGGAGTGTAAATTTGATCGCAGGAAGATAACGCTGGTAGGGCTGTATCAAGGGCCAACACCAACCTGGGGATTGAATCGGTCCAATAGAGCTACCCTGGACAGATGGCTGCATGATATCCTTGTCATCATCAACAGTTCTAACCTGATGGGGGAAAAGTGAAAGAGCAAAATTAGAAATGTGCTGTCACTTAAATGCCCGAACTTTACCACAAACCATCAGAGGCCCATCCACGTCTTGGGTCATCAGGGGGTGGCAAGTGGAGTTTTTATGAAAAGGATTATCAATTTCTTTCATTCGTAAAGAAATCCTCACAAACTCAAAGAAAGGTGGTGGTATCGTTTGTGAAACACTGGTGTTCGATACCTAAATGGCAACATGTCTCTACCCTCCCGCCAGCGCTATAGATACGCCACTGCAAAACAGCGTTCAACCTGTACGTAGTGTATAATACGGACTCTGCTGTACTGGGCATGCTTCAGTGGACAATCTGTCTTGAACAGAAGCACCCCTCACCGGTGGAAAAGAGTCATGTTGGTGGAGAGTGGTACTTTAAATGCTCGTATTTCACAGTTGTTCGTAAACCAGCGAAGAAAATTGGTACCGCTCGGGGCTCAAATCTGAACAAAGTTGTCACGTGTAAAAACGGATATCATTCATCAAATAGAAGGGACTAGATGGATTTGTTGGGAGACCGACAAGGGTAGAGGGGCCAAGATTTCACGGCGGCCAAAATTGTATATTGTTCGGACCTTTTTGTCGCTGTTCCTACTTTGGTTTTTTTTTGGGGGGGGGCTCGAAGGAGGGTTGTCCAGTTGAAAAATAAAACTTTTGAAAGGTACAAGTTGAATGTATAAAGCCTATGTCACAAATTATGCATGTACATTTTGGACACAACCTTTATTAGCCAGTTTCAGCCAAGGTCAAAGTCTATTTTGAACTCCTGTGTTACAGTTAATTATGTATCGGCTTTGACCATGTAAATTGATGCATTACAAGGTCATGCACTTCCCATGGTTACAGCTGTGGCCTGGTTCTAGGCGCAAAGCACGTTCGCTTCGAGTTTGGACGTCGTGCAGCTGTAAATTACAAGCAGTGCGCTGGGCGCTGCCTCATGCATCGGCAACGGTGAATTATACACTTTATGGCCCTTATCATAACCATGTGGATCATTACAAAATTTTTCAAGCCGTTCGGTCTTTCCACCCCTTTTCTCTCTAGAATTCATCAATGCTTCAGGTTCAGATTTGTAGTGCTGATAACTTACCATCATTTCATATGGAAATCCGAAGTTGACATCTGAAAATGTGATTGATTCATTTTCCTGTGGGTTGAAGACGTAAGCGTCATGTTAGAAGACAAACAAAAAGTAACCCCACGTCTGATGCTCACAAATTAATGGGATACAATTTATCGCAGTTTTTCGTTCATTTATAAGAAAAGACTGTGCCGGACGAAAGCTTTATGAACAAACATAAATATGCTGAAAACGAACAGGCAAAATAAATTCGATGCAAACCCTGCAGTGATGTTCACCTAAGACGTAAATCCACTTGCACTAGGATAATGAAGCAGGAAAAGGTCAGATATTTTTTGCCCGTTAAATTGACAGACGCCTGAGGGCTGCATTTACAGTCTGGAATGAATCACATTCATTCCAGAGGTAAATGAAGTCTGTCGGTCTTTTGAAATGACAATATCGGGAGAATTAGATTTTTCTCTCTAACCGTCGGACAAACAATGGAACACTACACAAACAGAAAACCAATCCCATGCGCCGCCGACGCACAACAGGTCAACCCTTCAGGGAGCGAGCACGCTGTTTAGCCATCAAATACCAACTTGGTTAATAACGGAACTCTGTGCGTTTGCAGCACACTTCCGGCTGGAGCGTGATAGGCCCGTATCACACTGGCTAGCGAGGGCAGGGAATCTTGGAGCAGTTCGTGCGGACATGCACAGTGCTCTGCCCACCTTCCAAGTACAAACTTAAAACAACTTGCGCCGACGGTATCACGTTCGCTTTTTTCAATATCCTTCGAAATAGACCTAGAGAGCATGTAGGTAATTGCTACACGGACATGCAATCGATAATAACGCCGTCAGATTATTTTTCTTGGAGAGAGGGTAGCGGAGGTCACTTTCGTCTTGGCGTCACGAGAGGTACTGTGTGTTTTTTAAACACATAATCAATAACTGAACCTCGTTACGTATTCAGATTCGAGAGGAATGGCAAATAAAATAAAGCTGAGAGTTGCTAGGGAACTTCGATTTGAAATTAAGCAAATCTTTTTTATCTCCACACAGTATTCCAGAAAGCAATGATGGTGCGTTTTCACATAATTGAGTCGAAGCACAGGTCCCATTCGACTATGGCATGAACGAAAATTGACTAAAAAGGTATCGAATCCCCTTCGAACTGCACAGAAAAAAATCCAAGACAAGAGGTTTGGACAACGACAACCATACAAAGCAGTCTGTGATGCTCAATTTCAGGCTTCAAGCCTCTCAGAACTCATAGAGAGTTTTGACAATCCACGCAGGTTTCCAATTGTGTATGGAGGGCGATGGACGTAAGAATAAACATCCTTGGAATCGGAATCTTGTACCATCTAAGTGGTAAGATGCTGCTGCTCTCGACTACAATCGAACGCAGGGGTCCTGAGAGCTCCCCATACATGTCACATCACTCTATGGGGGGAGACCAGCTGGGCATACAGCCATGGTCACCATCAGAACCCTTCAACACTTGGCCAGACACGAGCACAGTCTTAAATGCTGTTTGGCAGCGGTCGGGTTCTCTGCGATAAAAGTTCAAGCCAAAACGTCAGACTTTATTTCAGTGACTTACGGCTTATTTAGTATAAGCTTGTGATACAAATGACATACTTTCTTAGAGTTTTGTCGAGGACGTAATTTGACGCGAGTAAACGAAGAACTAAAATCTGTGACTTTCAGATACTGAAATTTTGTTACCACTTACCAAATCTTTGAGTATGAAGTAAAATATATACAAAACATCATAAATTGAGGATAGGTGGTAGTTTCGTAGGATGCTTTTGTAAATAGAAGAACGAAACTTAAAAAAAATGATATATTTTAAGAATTTACACCTGACACTTGGTTTTCAACTAACAAACTTAATATCCAGGTTTATGTACAAATAAAAAAGTCAGTGAAGCGTGTCACTGATGTAAAACACTCAGCCTAAAATGAAACCATTCAAAACGCATTACTGGGACTACCTTATCGAAGACGCTTATCGTACTAACTTAACACATATTTCAACCATCCATAAACACTGATTTCCTCCAAAGGACATTCAGGCTGAGGTATGCTGAAGCCTCCCAGGTCGACGTATGCTATTTAGATGTCGGCATCTTGTGCACAGTACTCCAGCTGCCGCCGTCAAGGGACGGTTATCACAAGTGGCGATGACGGGGCTGCGGGTTAAGAGGCTTAGACGTTCCCGCCCGTCATCCTCGTGTTCCCCTGACACGGGGAACGTCAATCTCTTCCAATCACACGGGACCTCTCGTCAGTTTTTACCGGCCCAATATCGACCGGGACTGGCTGCCGGGGCTCGGGTATTCCTTAACCCGTGGCTTTACCTAGTCGCCTGCGATCACATTCAGGGGCTTGCGCAGCTGCCGTGCCGTGTGGATTCTAATTTAGCTGATGGCAGGCTTATCTTTAAGATAATATTCCCAAAAAGTAATAAGCACTGCACAAGCTTAAAGAAAACAGATTAAGTTAACTACAATTAATCGACAGCACAAAGCAACCATTTTGATAATGAGACCCCTCGTTCCATCTGGAGGTATTCAAGCCACATGTGGATATTCTCTTACACGTCTTGAAACTTGAAATAACGGGTCACTCGTTTTCAAGTGTAGCTGCAATGAATTTTTATTAGACACAATTTTTTCTGCAATTTTGTACTCTTCTTAAATGTATGAAATTCATGCATTGAAAAGTGCACGTTTAAATACTTGAAGTTATCCATGCTTTCCTGGACAACTGAGGGCGCTGTTGCTGTGATGTCATCCAGGAAAGACATAGTTCAATCCATAAGTTTTCTGTTCAAATTGTGAAACCAGAATTTAATTACTGAAAATATTTCTGCTTGCTTATCGCTATGCATATTAACAACAGTGATACAGCAAAACGAAAACTTAGTCCAGCAAAATCTACAAAATTGCAGGACTTTTTTGTATCCAAATCAATGAAATTATTTTGCCATTGTTGGTCACTCGTTGATTTGACGGCTTCGTGACGACGTACAGCCTAACTGTCTCCCGAATTTAGGAATTGAAGGGTCTGACATTTCATTTGTAGAGGCTGTTGGTGTTTAGATAACATCATTTTTAATACGAATAAGATTGCGAAGCTTGCCCCACATTTAGTCATTTTACAGTGCGATACAAAATGATTTATGGCAATTTGAAGAAGATCCTACTTCTCTTGCACTTAAATTCCTTGACGGAGCTGTTAAAATCAGGGACACAGTAGGATCTGAATGGGTACTAGTGTGCCAAATATTGCCCAGGAATAAACGAAGATACAGTCAAACGGGTGTGGAAGAATTCAAAGCCAGAGTGGATTTAGCAAACTCATTTTTGAGAGATAACGGTGGTAAACATGTTGGGCTGAAATTCTGGAAGCAAAGGGGAATGACACATCAGAATATAAAGGATTTTGGTTCGGTCATATGCCCTGATGGGATTCACGTGTCTTCCAGAGGGCAATACAAATTCTACAAGTCTATACGTGGAGCTGCTTTGTTTGGCCTGAACCACAAAGCGCAAGCAGTTTAAATTATATCAGTTACAGGTAGCCGTTTGGCAACCTTTTCCTGGTACGGCTGGGTACAAGGACTATATGTAACACTACAAAAGGCTAGAAATGATTGATTTTTCCCATGTCATAACCACACCATAACTATTTTAAAAGAAAAAGAAATTCCTAGGAATTCCCACAGCTGTTACTGGGGAGCCCTAATAGTTTCTAACTCGGTTCCAGGTTGCCGGTAAGGCACTGTCTGCGTAATCAACTGGCACACTCGTCACCTTCTTTATTTTCCGTTTGTCCAAGTTTTCGTTACACAACTATAGTTAACCCATCCATGCAGAACTTCGCTGCCTGCCTGCCTGCCTGCCTGCATAGGATATGGACAGGCGAAGCTTACCATAATTTTATTTTCTTAAGGCAAATAATTATGCTCTCTGGGTTACTTATTCGTGCTTGCCCAAGTTAGGATCATGATGGCCCATATGTAGCATATACCTGCTGTTGTGGTGTGCTATCGACGGGGATGGCATTTGCCTAACAAAAAGGCTATATCGAAGGTTCCATTTCATTGCTTGGTGAAAGAAATGGTGTGTTCATGCTGATCTGATATGTTCCCGACTTTATAATCTTACCTCGGACATTACAGCTTTGTGTGTTGTTGTATATTGCTATATTGCATTGAGTTGGCCTTATGTTGGTTGATATGGCCCATACAGCTCTCAGATGTTGATTTTGGTGTGCTATTGATGTGGCTAACCTCAGCCTTGCAGCTGTTAGTCGCAGAGATGGTGAGCTTTCTGGAGGTGCTGAATATAAACTTTACCAGTTGGGCATAATTTATTCTGAGATAATGTTGATGGTGGATGTGTGCATTGCAGCAGTTCCGACAATTGCTGGACCAGGGCTTGGGTCGGGTCCATGGGAGACACTGGGTGTCGGACAATGGGGCAGGGTCCTTGCGTTTCTATAGGAGTTAGAGAGGAGGTCAGGGTTTACCTGACAGATTTAAGTCTTTGGGCATTGATGGTCCGGGTCACATTTCTGCTCCACTAAACTTTGCCGTCAAAAAAGACATTAAAGAGAAAATAATTTGAGGGACTGGGTATGTTTATTTTGGCTTGCTGCTCAAGCTGTACAGAGCAACATCGCGGTTTAGAATGTTTCCGTTGTTAGGTCGTTGTGTTTAGTACCATCCAACAAAAAGCTGCCCAAAACATCAACGAACGGATCTCAGCCTTAGCTATTTTTCTTCAGTTTACACCCACAAGTTGGGAGAATGGCAAGTTGCTTTAGTATAGCGAACTAATCAGGCAAATAGCAAATGAAGGGGGCAATTTCAATGTGTACGAAGTGACATTCCGAAAATTGGGAATTTTTAAAATCGGCCTTTGACAATCCGGCGATACTATCTGAAAAGTTGAATATAGAGATATCGAAAGAAAGACTTGCAGGGCCTTTTCCCGAAAGACCACTTAGCAACTTTTTGTGAGCCCTGTTGGCTTGGTTCCTGAAAACAACCTGGGTCCTTTCGAGTTGTACATCACCTGTCTTGCCCTAAGTACAACTCAATGAATGACGGTATACCAGACAGCTCAGCAACAATGAGATTCGTCCACAGACGATGATGTTCGTGTTTTAAAAAAAGTTGGTAAGGGATGTGTGCTTTTTAAACCGCATATTAAGCTTGCTTTCAAGATCAACCCAAATCATCCGGACGATCACAATTTAATAGGTTTATCGCTGCAAGGCCAGTTTTATTACGATAAAACTATTCCCATGGGTTGCCGCTCCAGTTGTGCTATATTTGAAGAATTTAGTACAGCGATTGAGTGGGTAGCAACGAGGGAACAGAAACCCGCAGGCATAATGCATATTCCCGACGATTTTTTGCCCATTTCCAAACGATTTTAAACAAGGTTCGCAGAATTTAAAGGATTTTCAAATGCTTCGTCACAACCTGGGAATTCCTATGGAACCTGAGAAAACTGGAGGCCAACAACATGTCTTACATTTGCCGGGATCGAGTTAGATACGGTGCATGGCTATGTCAGCACGGTAATACCAGCCCAAAAATTAATAAAAGCCACGAATATAACCAGCGACGCACTGAACAAGACTAAAGTCACTTTACACGAACTACACTCAATCATTGGTTTTCTGGAAATCGCATTCAGAGTTGTGGTCCCAGGCAGGGCATTTTTGAGGAGGTTGATAAATTTGACGATAGGAATTAGGTGCCCGTGGCATTAAATTAGGTCAGCAGCACAGGCTAAGTCAAATTTACAGGCCTGGTTGCCGTTCAATGGAAGGCACTTTTCCTGTCTGATCAGTGGTTGTCTGATAAGACGTTAGTGAGACATTTACACACTGATGCTGCAGGTTCCCTAGGGTACGGCGCGGTCTGTGGCCAACATCAAGGGCCGATGGAAACATTCTAATTAAGGAGTGCTACCCAATTGTAGCTGCAGTATACAGGTCAGGGGTCATCTGTAGGCTAACCAAAGAATAATGATGCATAATGATAATGAAGCTTTGGTTAACATAAATAACTCGAACGCAGCCAAAGAAGTGCAGGTCGTGGCTCTCGCACGTAAAATTAGTAATAAAGTACATGCTATTAAACATTTAAGTTCGAGCTGTTCACGTCCCACGTCGCAAAAATGCATTAGCTGATGATCTTTCTCGCCTACAGGTAGAGTCATTCAAAGAGGCAGCCCCAGGGGTGGAAGAATGCCCGTTAACACTTCCAGTAGAAATACAGCCTCAGAGTTGGTTCCCGGGCTCCTAAAATTATTGTCTAAAGCGGTGGCTGTTTCAACATGGCAAACATATCAACGAGCACAAAAGGTATACGGGTTTAACGATTCCCTGCCGCTACCACCAACGCTAGCAGCCTTATTAATCATTTACTTGAGGCTGAATACGCACCCAGTACCATTAATACGTATGTACCGGCGATTTAACCTTCTTCACAAACTACACGATATGAGGGAGCCCAGGCCCTGCTAGGGGTGCAAAGAGTCGAGCCAAAGTTAAATGTCCGACTTACTGTCAAGGTGTAGGACGCTGAATCTATTTCACACACGTGCGCGTTGGACAAATTCATTGGTGCTATTGATAGCCTCACTCCATATCTGGTGAAAACTCCTGTCAAAAGGGGAAAAAAGAACGACAATCTGCTTCATATGGTGCTCCCTTGCAATTGAGGCCACATTACACTGCGGGATGAAAGCCGTTTCACTGCGCGATGAGAGTTGTTTGGCAGCGCTGTGAATGTTGTTCAGCGGGGCAGTAAGTGCTGTTAAGGTTACACAACTCTAATACGCACCCTAAGATAACAGTGCGAAATTTTGAGAAATTGCGCCTCCCGGTGACACCCTAGACGATCTTGACCTCTTTGTTTTCAATATTCAAAATTATGACCACGTGGACGATTTCCTGTCAAATTTTACGAAGCTTTTGTCTAGATTTTTTTTATAGAGGGAGAAAAATATAAAATGTAACACGTAAAGACTAGGGGCAGGCGCACATATGAACTTTACAATGATCTGAAATGCACTTGTGACTTGTGTACAAATTTTCTTTTTTTTATTCCAGTTTCTAAAGACTACCACAAAATAATTTTGTTCGATTAAATGTGTGTGGAAATAGACCGACTCACCTGATTGTGATGTAGTTGAGATTTACGGAAATGAGTGGTCAATTTCTGACAACATATTTCTCTTGAGAAGAGGTATTTTTTCATTTTCTTTGAATATGCTCTTAAAATATTTACCAAGGCATTTACTGAGGTGATTTTTAAAGAAGTAAACAAAAGAAAATTATCACAAATGCTAGAATTTCTATGAAAATAATCTTTTCAATACTAATTTTGCACATTATTTTCTCTACCCAAGGATTCCAGAAGCAGTTTACTTTCAGAGGTCAACATTAAGGTTATATCAAAATGGATTTGTTGATTATTCCCAAAAAGCACGAAAATCGGAACCCATCATCAGATCAGCCAAACAACACTAAATGCGCTGACAAACAGCTTAGATGTGAAGCTACTCTAACCTCACATCAGTACACTCTCATCAGTTGAAGCGAAGATAAATTTTTACAATAAATCCAGGTTATTGAACTTTTGCAGAGTGAAAAAGAAAACCAAAGGGAGGTTTAATAAAATATATGAAAGGACGTAGTCAGATTTTCATGCTTTCCCCTTTTTCACATTCGATTTCTTAAATTAATAGACGAAAACAAAACCCAAAATAAGCATGCATATTGTCTCTGCGCTCCTGTGTAACACCAGACCCATTGTGATCATACTGAAATAGGTACGTTAATTTCTGCACCTTAAAGTATGCTTATGACAGTATGATTGGTCGATGACTCCGGGCAAGTTAGTATGAGGTCCGACAAGGTTTTGGTCTTGGCAACCCGATTATGTTGACATCAGTCAGCATACAGTAGGTCTATGGGTGTAAAGCTGCGTTGTTATGCCTGCTATTTTCTGCCCTGTTGTCATTCGTACAGGATTATATCACGTGTGACTCAATTGCCGAGAAAAAAATTGGGGAAACGAATGAAGTGGTTTTAGACTGGCAACCCCTTGACTGCAGAAGGTTACCAACACGTTGGCCGTAATAAGGACTCTAGGCCTACAACAATGAGCGATCAAATGATTACCCCGCTGAGAACACATTGACTAAATGCAGGACTCTGGGTTAGCCAAATAATTGCTTTAATGATGACTCTAGAGGCACAAAATCTTGGGGGAAACGCATTAAGATATTTCAAACCTCTGAAAATGACTCTCCATCACCAGAAACCTTATGGCAAGTCCTATTCTGAGATCCATTGTATCCTTAGGCGAATATCTTTTTTATAAGTTGGTGCTCGGATTTTTTTCAAGACAAATTTTACAGGAGGAGGGGAAAAACCCCAAAGTATTTTTATAAACTCAAGAAAAACAAATAAGAGTCTTCAAGTCGGCGGAAGGAATACCAAAAAATTTTTAAAAAAGGGGAAAGAAGTGGTTTCCCTAACCACTAGTTTAGCTGCGAAGGACCGGGGACTTCGCCGTCGGTCGGACAGCGGAGCAAAAAAAAAAAAAAAAAAAAGGTAAAATGCTAATCCGAGACTTCTTAATTTAAGATACAACATTTTAATTTTTTTCAGTTTTGAATCTGGAAAGTCGGCGGATCCGAACACCAACTAAAAATTCTCGCCTTAAAAAAAATTCTTTTCTCCTGTTTTACCACTGACTTTCTGTTCAGTCTGTTATTAATTTTCTTGTATCCTCTGAAGGAAGAGACGGACACACTTTGTCAAGTAAGTCTAACACTGAGTCTGCACATCCAGCCCCGCTACCAGGTTTAGGCATGGGGTGATGGGGTGCACAAGACCAACTAGGGGATACATCACAAAAACAATGGATACTTTGGATGCTTAATGGTTTTTGTCGATGCGGGAGGGTGGCAGCTTCTCACCAATCTCTCACTCTCCCCCCCCACCCCGCCCCCCACCGTTGGCGACATACATAGCCACACCCCAAACCTTAACTCTATCCACGGACTCAAGCTGTATTTTGAAGGAAGTTTGGGCATGGGTGGGGTGAGGCATATCTCATCCAAGGAAACTTGAGCCTGAGCCACAACACGGGTTGTGTTGTTACTGCTCTTGTATAAGACCTGTGAGGTCTTATGTGTGGTTTCCGTTATTACTCAGATTGTAGGCAGACATAATAAGCTCCCTATGGCACACAGACATTCCCCAAATGATCGCATCCTAAACCACAATACAAAACAGAGGAAAGAATCAGCCTGGACTGAGTGGAAATAACACTGAAGATGTGTGTCATTAATTAATGAACAATAAGTCCAGTTGTTCAGGTTTGCACGAAACAAGGGGGAGATTTTTTAAACCCTTTGAATTCAACTCGACAACTGATATGAATTGTTGCCCAAACCGAAGTCTTAAAAATATGTCTTCTCCGCTTCTCACTTCAACCTTTAATTTTTTCCTGAGTACCTTAAAAAAAGGACCAGTGGTATGCATGGCCTTATCTAAGTCCACATTCTGGGCATAATGTAAACTCTAATAACCACAGTCTGTTTCATCATCGGCAAGTTGTCTCTATAAAAAAGCTCAAAAACGTTTCTTGACATGTTTGTCGGACCTGAATATCGTCACAAGCGCCATATTTGAGTTCAAATTTTGTTAATTTAAATTTTGTACTGCACAAGTCGTATCCATAAGAGAGCTTGTTGTGTCAAAAGAACGTTGTGCGTCATACAAAAAATTAGCAAATTCAGGAGGGCAAATATCGGTTTCCCTGTTTTATTCGTGAGACCGTCTCGCTTTAGAAAGAAAGTATGAAATGAAAGAAAGGCGACCGTTTAGCCTTGATAAGTACGGCATGAAAGAAGCAGTATCCGATGCCACCTGTAATAGATGAGATATTGTCTTACCTGGCGGTCTCTTCCACGAGCCAACGGCGTCGACTGTCCATTTGTCCTCGCTGCCGTCGAGGCCAGACCCGCTAATGTCCCGGCGGGTGTGGAACGTCAGGTTCAGATCGGTCACGGTGGCTGTGGAATACGGGGAATCGTATCCGAGGTAATTGTCCTTAATTGTTCCTTTTAAAATAGAATTCACTGTAGGCTGCAAAATATATACTGTACCACCTTCATGACAGGAAACATTACTTCGAGGGTTCCTAAGCAGGCTTTCCGGCGACATGATCGCAACGTTCCGTTAACCCTGTGTTGCGCCAATGGAAAATATGTCATTCTAATCGAACTGGTGATGAATGGTCATGTGTATAGTTCCTACCTAGGAGAATTCAGGCTATATTCAGACCACAAAAATACAATCATGTTGTTGTAATCCACGATTTGCACAGTTTTAAACTTAATGAAACCTGAATTAAGCGGAACTAAAAAAGTCCTGGCATAACACCCACATTCATCATACATGCTTATACAAACTAAGGTAAGACTAAGACTGTAGTGTGCGAACTAAACGTAACAGTTTCTGAATTCTCATTCCATGAACTGGAATTAACATCATCAGGAGATCTTGTAGTGTAACACACGATCATCTCAAATGATGATCGTTGACTGTCTTGATGACAAATTTATGCAAAATGTCCGAAGGCCATTTCCCCAGCACTCAAAAGAGAGGGAAACAGATAAACTAGTCAATTTTATCTTCTGATGCGACTAAAACAACAGAAGAAACAATGAAAGTTTGAAAAACAAAAAAACCCAACTTTTACCAATGGAGGTAATATACAACTTCAAGAAATTCTCATTTTATAGATAAAAACGATCCTACTCAAAATTAAAGGACAAAATAAGGATTATTAAACTTACGCATACTGAAGCAGTCGTTTGCAGTTGTTACTTCTACTTCGAGTAGAATAACCACCAATGTAAAAGCAGCGACCAACGCCCGTTTTTCCCACTGAATCATTGTCTAAAACAATGAAGAAACAATGCTAAGAAGTGAATCATTCACATGTCTTTCCTTTGTCTTGGATAAGGGAAAATATTCCGTTGAAGGTAGAAATCTCCGAGAAAGGATGTCGATGCATATATTCCAAGTGTTTCTTCCAAGTGATTCTCTGCTGTCTTGAGCAATCGTGGCCGATGCCATATGCAAATAGTGTAAATATAGGGAGCCAATCACTGAGCCTCACGCATTCTTTGCCTCTGCGCGCATGCTTACAGAGCTAATGGTTAGTGCCACAATTACAAGCAAAGCGTTATAGCAGTCAGATCGTAATGGGCAGAATTGATACGACAATTTTAATTCAATCCAATATTACTTGCAGTGGAGAAGAAATTCAGTCAGTAAATAAAGATTGTAAAGATATCATTTCATCAGAAAGTTTGGTTTGTCTCTGTCATTCAATGCACTCAATCACTTAGGCATAACCAGAGTGAATTTATTTTTACCAAAAGAGTGTATGACATGATTGACTAAAAACTATACTTTCACTTGTTTAGAAATTTTTCTAATATTTACACTTTGATGTTAGTTTCATTTTCTATACAACATTTCTATTGCTAGACGACCGAAATTATGTAACCTCTGATAGTCAGTACCGTGACCTTTTTACGCCTGCATTTGACTGTTAGCAATTTATGTCGTGCGTAATACGTAGTGTTCTCAGAGGAAATCACTTCTTTTTGAAATACCAAATTGCCGCGAGGCAAAGAAAAGCAGACGAATGGAGACGTTGGTTGACTTGACTTGGAAATTCGCCCGTACCTTTTTAGTTCTGTATCAGTATTTTCAAATTTTCATGGACTTTTGTCTGATTTGTACAATTCTCATTTAATTCGTCTCCCATGGGGATCACCTGGCGGATTCTTAGTTAAAGCTCAGAAAAATCTAAGCCCCACCCGTCAGAAAGGCTTTGAAGGTCTCCTTTAGAAATTGAAATTGTGCTCCCCTCCCAAAAATTGGCCCTGAAAATGAAACGTTGACTCCGCTCGTGTCTAGGTATTACAGTTGTATGTTGCTGTGGGTTGGAAGTTATACAGGTTGGGTATTGTCTTGCTTTTCTCTGGGACACGTTGATATCTCCCTGTACTTAAATTACGTCTCGCCAGACAACCCATATTTCGTGTGTGCACAGCGTATCAGTTGAAGACGTTGTTCTTGGGCATAGTAACTGCACGTATTTCCACTTTAAATACGTCTCCCGTGGTAACGCGATACACCTTGGAATTATTCAACGGTCCTCTTCCATTAATTCTGTCTCCAGATTCCTAAATCTCCGGCTTCTCTGGCAATCACTTGGCCCATTTTACTGGCGCTTTTGGTTTTACATTAATCAAAAAATAATCAGCACAAAAAATTACGGGTTAGTCTGTGACCGGTATCCAAATTTTCGTTTCTACCTGATTTGAATCACGAGGTCGTTGGAATGACCTGGAAATTTCACTCCAACTTCTATCGCCTCTGTTACACCCTATAGTTTCCATTGAGAAGGCTCACATTTGGTTAAGAAAGACAAAGGCAAACGGATATTGCCATGTCTGTAGTTGGTGTCCTTGTTTATGACCTGGGAATGCTTTCCTGCTTGTCACCTACAACTTTAGGTTCAAAGTTTATTTATTTATTCTTAATTGGTATCGTTGCTTTGTCAGAATCTATTCAGGTAACCAATGCTTGGGATACCTGTGCGGAGCCATTCTTTCACTTCACTCGCTCTGTAGAGATTTACTCCCACCCAATATCGAGCGGCTACCTGCGAATCGGTCACGTTCCTTCTAGGAGTATCAAATGAACCAAGGACTACCGAGACACAGATCTGTTCGATTAGCCTCATCAGCTAAGTGCAATTACGGCCCGGCCGTGGATCAATGCTAGCCGTGCACAGACAAAATACCGTCTTCGGAGGCATTACGCAATTGGAAATCATGCAAGAGAAATACTGCCAACAGACATGGCTACCTACCAGGGATAAAACCAAGTATTCCTCCAAAGTATACTTCGGATTTTATTGATGCGGTCTAGGAAAAACAAATGACTACCCATTTTCTGTTTACTGTTTCTGTAAACAAGGATCGAAGTACAGAAATCTATTCATTGTTAATCATTTTAAAGGTTTCCTTTCGATCAGTCTGTGTATTCTATATGTTTTCTTTGTAACTTCAAATCTTCAATAGTCTATTTTTAATTATATATCCGCGACGTTTGAATTGTTTCTGCGAGAAATGTGTGTTTTTACTCAGGCTATCTTGCAAACAGTTTGGATTGATTTAAGTCAACACTTTTTCCAAGTATTGGTTGCAAATCAAGTTGGTTATATAAAGGATGGGGGAAATAAGGCATACTGATTCAACAAAAATTATTATCTATTGAGGATTTCCCTGTTTGTATTTCCAAAAGATGCACATAGCAAACGTTCACCTCGGAAAATACACCAAAGCAAAATTAACTACAACAGTGCCTTTTAAAGCACAAACCTGTGCTTCCTTTGAAATATTATGATTATTGTTATGTCTTTATGCAAAAATTTTACACGTATCTTGATATAAAGCATTCTCTTTCACAAATTCTCTCTCCATTAAATTGAACAGTTAACCTTGATAAATCAAGCGCTTGTCCCACCAACACCTGCGAGACTTTGGATAAGATTTACATCGGGCACAGAATGTGCAGGAGGACTGCTTCATTTCCTCTTTCTAATGGACATTACAGCTATTAGCACAGCGGTGTTTTGCCTCTGAAGGGGATTTTAAGAACCCGATTTATCCTTGAAAGAAGACTAGCATAATTGACCATTAAGGTAACATTGTAAGCTTCGTTGGCTACACTAAACGTACTAATAATGAAGCCTCATGCTATAAAGGGATAAAAGCAAACACAGACTATCCGAAAACAAATTAAGAATAGGCATCCCCCTACGGAAGGACAATACACTCTAACACATGAGACCACAATACATGGACATAATCCAAACTCAACAAGTAATAATCCACTTATTTATCATGTAATTGTAGAATACTTGACTGCTGTTTGCTGTTCGAGCGACATGATCTAGATGCACTTGCAATAGATGCAAACTCCCCTTCACATTTAATGACAAAAAGACCCAATCAGGGGAGACTCAGGAATATTATCACAGATGCAATCAATGAGAAATGACTCCAATGAATTATTTCATTACCGTTTATTACAACGATCAACTCTACCATCGCTTCAGGTGAACAGTGAAACTCGTGAAGTTAACCGCCTACAGGAATACTAACTACAAGTACCAGAGTGTACAAGAAGTTATGTGTCCGTACTCAGCCAGTGTACGATAGCACAGACCAATGGACCTTATTCTTGATTCGGCCATATTGAAATTGAATGTGAGGTTCACTCTTCAGTTTTAACTTGAAAGCATCAATGAAAGAATGAAGTTAAATTTCCGGTTAAAGTTGTGTCTTCTCTGATGAATATTTTCATATTTGTGATAATACTACTTCAGTGTTTTACACCCAATCGGGAGAAACTATTGAGAGGTTTGGAAACCAAATGAATTCTGGAATAGTCCGATACCATCTCATGTCATAGTTAACTATTGAAAAAAAGATTCAATGAACGTGGCTTCCCCAGGAATAAGGTCCATTATGATATATAATGTGTCCACATTTGTTTTTGATCTCTTTAAATTATTTACATTCTCCATTACACATGAATAATAATGCGCAAAAAAGTTTTCCTAGACATGTCTCTCGTCTTAAAAGGTCAGCTCAATCCTCAATCAAGAAAATCTTTGAATTCATCGGGGCATGGTACTACTTGGTCATAATGCATCAGTGTGTCGGTCGTCCGCCCAAACCCTCTTTCCCTGTCTTCCAAATCCTTTTGAATAAAGATAAACCGTTACATACAATATAGCTACAAATAGCTATAGGAGTCACTTTTGTTCATCCCTTTGGAATTGCTTGTCTTCCATTGATGCATAGCACACCACGCGATAGGCTTGTAAGAAGAACAGTTTTATATACACAGTCTTTAAAAAGAAGTCACGGGTAATTTTGAATGGCAAAACAAGCATTTTGACATCGTCGAAAGCTCGGCGCCCAACATTTTCCAATGCATCATGGCGCTGTCATCTTTGCGATATAATGAGCAGAAATTTGGAACAGTGCAAACAGACTTAGGAACAACAATTACCATTTGCTAGACACGTTTTCCTCAACAATTTAACAAAAGCAATCAAGCGATCATTTGATGAGAGTTCCTAACTTAAAAAAAATATTTTGTAGACCGTCTGAGGGTCTGTTTGAAAAAAAAAACCGTTCGCCGTCTGAGAAAATGGAATATACACATCAATAGAAAATGTTGTCTTTGATCCTGGATCATTGTAATGATTAAATGACGGCCAGCAACAAGTCTAAAAAGCAGTTCAGACTCACACTGTCAGAAGTGAGTTTCAGAAATAAGTCAAAAATAGATCAAGTGCAGTACTTTGTGTGTACATAAGAATTAATTTTAGTAGGTCCAAGGGAGTCCAGTGGACAAGTTTCAATGGAGAAAGATGTCTTTGATCGAATATTAAACTATAATAATTGAGCAAAACAAGATGCAGTGCACAAATATGTGCTTTATGTATACACTAAATTCAGCACTTGAAAGTTTTTTTGCACATATTAAACTTTCATTGGGGCAACATCAAGCTTACGGTATTCGAAGAAGGTTACAAATATTATACCAAAATCCAGGCACCGTTTATTAAAGTAATGTATAATAGGCTGTTGAATTCGGAATGAAAAGGTTATTTAAATTCCTTTGAGTGTACGCACTCTGATACTCGTCGCCCAACGTAATTTCCTTTTTTATCGACAATCGTTGCCATGTTTTTAACAGTGAATACGGTTTGAATTACAAATCCTGAGACCAGTGATAGTAATTCATGGCAATTAAAGCAATCATAAGACACCATCTTACTTTTTTCAGTCATTGACTTCAATCAGATAATTACTTGTTACAGCTACAAGGCATTCCATCGTACATATTGATGTAATTTAACAGCAATTTTGTTCTTGAAAATATATGTGCAAAGAAATTGCAATTGACATATTCCTGTGAAATTGCAGCAAGCAAGACTGAACAGATAACTGAACTTCGAGAAAAAATATAATTTGTTTGATTTTGGTAGAAAAAAATAAAAGTTTGCGCGAAGAATACATACTGAACTTATCTTTAAAATAACTTACAAACTATTGAAAATATGGTTGCAGTTTATTCCGCATATTATGACATTTAGATAAATTGACAATTTGATAAATATGTACAGTAATTACAGTGTGGACTCAAGAAAATACGAAAAGATCTATCACATCGGAAAGTCCCAAACACAAACCGTGTACAGCTTAATGGACCGCGCTGTGCGAGTATAAATACAGCACTAACTTGCTATCGTATAAAATACCCTTTGCTCATCTGGATCAAGAGTTTCTCCAATCGCGGTAGCGTGATACGACTGCCGTTGGCGCTGCATGTGAATATTTGAAGTGGAGTGGCCGCTTCCCCCAGCTGCATGTCCTTTTGCAGCTGGCAAACCGTAGCCAGTACAAGTCAGTCGCAGGTCTATGAACGAAAGCCTTAACTTTGATGGCAGTTCCCCTGTTACAAATTTCGCAGATGGCTACGACTTCCGGGTTTTTTTGGGGGGGGGGCGGGGGCGGAGAAGCACACTGAGGAAATACCTACAGCCGTAGATAACACATTTATGCCCTTTTCGGAAACCGATGATTAAGCCGTATCTCCAACGGAAAAGATTTGTTGGAAAATGTTTGCCTCGGTGGGGAATGGTATGCTTAGTCTCCTAGATGCTTCATCAAAATGATACCTGGAAAATAGTGGAGGTAGATTGAAACGTTCATTCTCTGAGTTGAACGAATTGAAGAGAGATCTTAACATTTGGATGTGTCTGTGGTATTCTCCTGTAGTGAATGAAAGAAAGAACCTTCTTTTAGTATTACGGTTGCTTTACTTCAGTCATCGTTTAGTCTACCATTCTTAGTGATGAAACTGTGGATTTCTCAAAAGAGCCAATGGAAGTTGACCACGATTCCGAAGACACTTGTCTGGAAAAGGCAATGAAAACATTGTAAGCATTTTGGGGGGGGGTGCCAGGAAAATTCGGCAGTCACAAACTCCATACGTGTACTGATCTTAATAGACTCACTGCGAGTCGTAAAAGTGGTAAATAAGGAGAGTTAATACTGCGACAACATGACTTGGTATGGCTTGCTGACTAGTTTTTCCTTCTTGATCAAGAAAAAAAAAATCAACAATGAAGTCCTACTGTTTTGCAGTGCTCTGTTTTCTAATTGTTAAGGTTTATGACTGGGGTATCACATTCATAAGGTCGAACTGCCTTACGTCACTCGGTACCTATTGTTCTTGACTTCATTATTGCCGTCTGATCTGTTGCACTAAGTGCGAGGACAACCAAATTTCTAAACTTGCCGTTTTTCGACACAAAAAATAAGGGGTGTTTGATAAGCCAAACCCTCCCCTCAAAGAATGGAAGGTGTATCTTATCGAACCAGGTGAGGTGCGGACCCAGGGTGGAGGTCAACACACCCCCCGACAAAACAAGGTACAAAAAATGGGAAAATAATAACAAAAAATAACTACACTTTGCAAAGGTAAGTGCACCAATACCATTATAAACAATTTATGTCATGTAATGTTTCATCATGGTTTCTGCTTGTCCGCAAAAATGAGCTGAGCTATTTAAAAAAAAGTCTCCGGCCTTAGCCCCCGTCTGGAAAAAATTCCGGGATCCGCCCCCGCGAACCCGACCTGGGGATTACGGCCTTAGACCAGTTAACCTAGAGCCATTGTCATGGTGCCCTTTTTCGCCCACGTGTCTCCACTGATAATATAAAGGTTTTTGAGATCATAAATCTAAAGTAACTGACAAGATGACTGTTGTAAGCCTTTGTCAATTTATCCCACGAACAAGTTTTAAAGGAACTCAAGGAGAGCACACATACCTGTTGAACGGCGTCCACGCACTCGACAGTCACCCGAGGGACAGGGCTCCAGCCGAACGCTTTCAGCGCCTCATACTGCCCACCGTCGCCCCGCGTGCCCTCGTAGCCGTAGTTCGTAATCTCTGTGCTCGGCGAGAGGTGGTCGTCCACATCCAACTCCATGAAGTATTCGGAGCTCAGCTCGCTCAGCATCCGGTCCAACTTGTTGTAGAGCGTGGTGAAGGTTGGACGAAGGTCCGGGTTCTCATGCCAGCACTCCAGCATGACGATGTACCTTTTTGTGTTTAATGAAAGAGGTACATAGAAGTCATTACATTGTTATAGATGTGGTTTATAAACCAAAGAGCAAAAATCTAGCGACTTTTCACTAAACATTACGGAGGGCCTCCTCTAATAGTGAAAGCCAAGTGTTTGGGTTCTGTGCGGAGCAACTGTCAAGGTTAGTCTCTCTACAATAGATACTACAATTTTCACCGCTCTTTGCAAATAACTCGATGATTGTGTGCATAACACGTCACCATTGAATGCAGTCATTCCATCATCTCAGGGTATCTTTTTATGAACTATTTTGCTCATTGGCGAACATTTGTGCCAAAAATTGCGGGATGAGAGATGAGGATTTGTGGGGAATGACTTGCTCGGCCATGTAAATTCGAAAAGCAGGGGGAGGGGGCACACCATGTGATAGTGAATAGGATCGCATCTGTAATATGTATTACATTCATGCAGAATCTTACATCACAATGGCATAGGCCTATTTATGGCTTTTCGGCGTTTCCTTTTTTGAGTGATATTGAATACATTTTATAAGTTGGGAAGTCAACAAATTCTATTCCTTCTTTTCTGTGCTCACCACAAAAAAGTGGGGGATAATGCACTGGCGTATCCCCAACCTCAAAAAGTGGGTGGATTTATCCCCCATCCCCTTGAATTTACACCCATGAGTTTGTAACAGACTCACAGTTCGTCCGGGCAGTTGTCTGGTTGCTCCATTCGGTAACCGTCCTCGAGTTTGCGAACGACCTCAAAGCCGTCCAGCCCGGGGTACGGGACGCCCCCTAGAGTGTAGATCTCGTACAGAACTATGCCGAAGGACCAACTACAGAAGTAAAACACGAAACAATTTCTTGTGAGAAAAACGACACAATTCAAAGTCCTCTTCGGACCAAATTAAAGCATGAATTACAGTTTTGGACTTGCATGTACGATGGCCGTAGCTATATTTCTTTTCTATAAATAAAAAAATGATTAATACAGTACCGGTAAAAAGGTTCTAGTTTGCACCTTTTCAGTTCAAACACAAAATCCTTCTGCGTTCCATTTGCGAAGAAAAAAAAAAGGAAAGTTAACTCACTGCTCCAAGAAATGCTTTCATTTCACCAATACAGCGGGGTAACTACAGGGAAGGGGTGGGGCGCAGGGGCACGCCCCCTAGCGAATGCCCATGCCCCCAATCCCTCTCCCCGTTTGAAATCTGTGAATAATCTCCGTTGAGTTTGTAAAGGTATGCAGCGACAGCTTATTTTCTTGTGGTGCCCCCTTGAAAAATATGACTACCCCCAGGTGCCCCCCCCGGACACTTAGCCCCCTAGTTATGTCACTGCATCAATAAGTGCTCATAAAAATCTAATGGACGTTTGGCAAGGATGGGAATGTGCTGATTTTGTGTTGAAAAACTGAGAACCTTATACTGCGTGAAACATGACAATCTGGACCTTGTCTTATAAATATACGTACAGCAACAAGCCAGTACTTCAGTAGTGCAACGCTTCAATGTTGGTCGTGCTTAGTGCCGTTATAGGGTGAAACCTTCAGGAGGCATCTGGGTGCAAACACTTTTCGGGGGGACACTCAATGTAATTTCACCTTGGATTTTCAGCGGAGGGAACCCGTTAGGATCGAATCGAAGCCCCGCTTGAGCCCCCACGCTGGTTCATCACCTGATGAGGTGGGTTCCGACATTGGCTAGGGGGTATGTGTCTCGTGCCCTCCGACGTCACCGGTTGTGCTTAGCGCTAATGAGTGGTTCACAACGCAGCAAATTGTATCCTCATGCTAAAGAACATCGGCGGCATGCATGCAATGTTGCCCTACTGCAGGTCTGTCTCCTCTGATTTTAAACATCCTGCAGCATATGAACAATCCTACTTACACGTCACTTTTGATGGAGCAGGTTCCCTTCGTGTTGGTTTCCAGACTGACCCACTTCAGAGGCCGCTTTTTCTCCTGCCCAAGTCTCTTGTAGCCCCGTTGATAAAGATCGTCCGCCATGCCAAAGTCCGAGATTTTAACCACCAAACCTTCGCCGACCAACACATTACGAGCGGCCAGGTCACCGTGGTAGTACCGAGTGTTGGACAAGTACTCCTGTTGCCAAATTACTTGGATATTAAAATGATAGTCTAAATGAAGTACATCTACAAAAATTGCAGTCGGTCCAAAATTCGGTCTAAAACTTCATATGATCAGTGTCTAAAACGGGAGTGATTACATGAAAAAAATCTACCAACTGTACGTGCAGTCGGGCAAAGCTTCATGCTCGACGGACCTCTGTGGTGTATTCAGAGGATATGGGGACCAAAGGGTAAACGTTGACGAAATATCTATACATGTTTTTCCGTTTATTTATGAGCTAAAGGTATAAAAACACCATGCATTTGGCCGTATGGCACCCCCTTCTCGCCCTGCCCCTTTTGATTTTAAATGGAACTTTTCAAAAACATTTCCTTCATGTCCTCCTTGCCTGTTCCATCAGGATACGCCCCTGTACTCGCTACCCCCAATAGCCAGGTCCTCTCTCACTATTTTAGGTCTAATCAGTAGCAAAAGACATGAGCTGAAACGTTTCCTTGGGTTATCTCCTAAGCTTGGCGCCACCATATAGCACCGGCTACTGGAACTTTTAAAGGTTCATTTGTCACACAGCATTTCACGTTCTCATTGCAAACTTACCATGCCACGCGCAATTTGGCGGGCTATCTGCAGTTGCCCAGTCTCAGTGATGCAGAAAATCGGGTCCTCAGCTTGAAATTTCTCCTGAAAGAAGAATGGTTAAAAACCTTTTGCATAACAGACTGCGCGTGTGCATTCGTAAACAGCTTCCTAGGAATTTTGTTCAAATCTTCAACGCTGTCACATTTTACGGTGACAGGAATTGACGGTCATCTTATATATATGCACTTCCGGTGACATTTTGATCTAGAACTAAACCGAAATATCTACAAAAGTTCTGCAGTGCAAAAAACTTTTCTCTCGGTGTGTAGTTCAATAAATATTGAGAAGTGCAAGGAATGTGATGATACGGAATTCGGAATGCAAAAATTATCTTAATGAATTCAATTGACATAGTCTGGGTCCGAATAACCTAGCAGCGGCTTACGCTACACAAGATATTATTTTATGCAGTGGTAGTGGCAGCAATTAGTTCCCATAGACTCTTGTGCAATTTCAAGCCGCAGCCAAGTGATTTGGACTTTTGGACTTGGTCTTACATCTCTACACTTCCACAGAAAGCCAAGGAGGTCTCCGTATTTCATGTACTCAGTGATGAGATAGTAGGGCTCATCCACCGTGCAGCAGCCGAGTATGGCAAGGATGTTGGGATGGTGACCAATGTCAATGATCAGCTTGATTTCGTCCAGGAAATCCTCTCTAGCCTCCCGTGTTGCGTTCACTGTGGACCGATTAAACCAGTAATTTAAATAACTTGATCAAGTGCATATAAAGCGAAAGTATTACTCGCTGGATTTCTTAAGCTGGCCAGAGGCGAGGTGATTCGACTTCAAAATCTTATATTTAACGTTCCACTTACAGCTCTGTTTTGTCATACTGGCTGTCTCAACAGAAAGACTTTCAATTGAATAGCATAAGGACCAATGTAGGATGCATCAATTCGGTACAATTTGTGTTTGGTTTTAACGTCCTCTTTTCGCAAGAAAAGTCAAGACAGAAGAATACACACTTTGCTGTACTTTTTTTGTTCCAAGAACTATACTTCTCCATGTACTAGCGATGTGTACCAGGGCTGCTTCGTTTATATGATAAACAGCACAGTTCACGTACAAGCGGGCAAGAGAGGAAGAGACGCTCTTCGTCAGAGCAAAACATAGTAAACACAACACATAATAGCCAAATGAGGGCGCCCAAAGAGCTGCGGATACCTACTTTTGAGGCTCTTCACGGCTACCGGTCGGGGTGCGTACTTCTTTAATGAACTGTCTGCAGAGTTTAGTATTCCGCTATACACGATACCGAACTGACCACTGCCGAGTTTCTCGTTGATGGTCAAAAGGGAGCGGTCGATCTCTCTCGACTGGAAATCAACGTCTGGTTCCCGCAGCTCATCGAATGATGACTTCATGCCTGCAGGGGTTCCTAAACAAACGAATATATTGCTTTTTTAAGCTATATGACACACACGAGACTATTTCAAGTTAACTTAGCAAAGTGTACATGAATGAAGCGGTAATCTAACATCAAAGAGTTGTTGCTGCCCCCAACGGCCCTTCACCAATCAAGGAAGAAAAGTAACTAATATCATAAATTTCTGGCTCCCCCTCCTTAGCTGTGTAACAGTATACCTAGGCCTGTATATTTTCCCACTCCAAATTTTAGTGGAGTTTGATAATACAGACTTCAAATAAGCTCTCTGCCCTTCCACAGCTTAGAATTTAGAGCACTATTTCATGAACGTATTGAGTGCTATACTTCCAAAAAATAAGAACCCTCCCCCCCTCGTATGGACTGAGATAATGCCTCTTTGTTTGAGGAAGGCTTGACGGATGCCCTGGACAGGTTTTCAATTACTTCAGGAGTGAGCTGTGGGGGTGTTGGACACAAATTCGATCTGCTCATGACCCTTAATGAAAGGAGGGAACTGTAGTTGGCCTATCGAAACGTTATATCAGCCCAGTTAAGCTATAATTTCACAGAGCCGCTAAGCAGAGAAATCTGCCAAGCTCAAAAAACCTTTACTTTGGTTGCTAATAAAAGTGGTGTACTTTGTGGGGACTGGTCCTCCGATTTCTTTCTTTTTTTGGGGGGGGAGTTAACAACTTAGGCCCCCTATTCACGTATGTTCACCCCTTCCACTTGTTTGTGCGCATGCGCTAAAATTCGGCAAAGTCGAAGTGTTGCTTGTTAAAATGGCGACGCCAGCCAGCAAATGACTACACCAAAATCTATATGCGGAGATCTTCCGCACTGTCTGAACGTTTGCTGAATTTATACCAGAGAAATAAAATCAGGCTTCAGATTTCATTTTAAAGTGACATGTTGGAGAGAACGGGGTGAAAGATGTCTGTATACGTTACATTTCTGAACGCAAAAAACGGTATTTTGAACTTGAAAATTAGAACTGTTCTCCGGTTGGTCCACACATGCTGCGTATCCTGATTACTGAAAGAGTGTTTGAAAAAGGTTACCATGTTATGTTTAGCTATAGCGAATTGTCCTTGGTTAGTTTGCTCAATTTCAATTTTGGCTCTCTGTCGACCGGTCGGCCATGATTTACGTGTACACATGTGCGAGTTTGTGTACATGTGCTGTACGTGTACTCCATCTATGCACGTAACTACTACGGACAAATGATTCCGTGCAAGATATTAAATTCGCAATCACTTGAAAATACTACCGATGTTTTTATTAGACCTTACTACACACGGCACTTTATTTTGTTTGTTTGGATAAACTCGAGAAGTTGTTTTAAAATGGAAAAGACCGTGGATGTATTTTCTTTCCAATCTGATTGTGTTTATTTTTTGTAAAAATTACTTTTTCAAAATTTGTTTCAAATTTTGTGCAGCTTGGTTCATATAATGCGGTGGTTTAATGTTGTCTAATCCATTTTTAGTTATCGGGTTATCTTCGTGAACTTTATTTGATTGTGTTTTGTTAAAAAATAATCATGATCTTCATCCGCGAAAAGAAATGTCGGAACGATGTTCGACGCCGCCTGCCTCGAAATCCACAGTAAAGTGATCCAGTACGCATGCGCTAGCTCTTAACTAAGTGGTGCACAAGGGTATGGGAATGAACATACGTGACTTGTTAACCAGCATTTCTGCCGGGCAACATTATGAAATTGGGCCAAGTCATTAACCGCTGATTAAGATAAAAACTGACCCTTTCTAGATCCCCCTTCCTCGGGGTATCGAACAAATATCGCCTCTTTGGACTCCGCCACTGCCTTTCTTCTCTTGATGAAACGGAGTATCAGGGCGCCCACAACGGCGAAAGTTGCCATGAACGACACAACAATTACGGCCACATACGAGGGCGCTGTCTGTTGTCCCGTTGTTGCACTTGCAAAGGTGGTTACATCCGGGGATGGTTTCAATTTAGCACATAACTCTTCTACAAAAATAAGGGAACAGACGTTAAATTTCGCAACTGCTTTAGGAAAGTATTTTCCTAGGCCATTCAACAAAATCAAACGAGATGGAGGCCAAAGTAAACTGATACAGTACGAAAATTATTGACCAATTAGAATGATTTTAGGTTTAAACACATTTAAAATACATCAGATACGCGGATAAAACAACGCAAACCAACCATGAAAGCGACTTTGTGCAATCTAAACGGGACATACATAGAGTTAACTGCCACGTGAGAGGGGCGTTTTGCTTCGCTCAGGGGCTTGGGCGTTGCCAGGGGGTTAACCACATTTCCAAGGGGATTTCAAGGAAATAAGTGCTCATCATATAACAAAAATGCTTAAGAAGTCATGACTAGAGCTAGGGGAAAGCAAAATGGTGATTGTCATCCCTTTTCATTTTGGTTTTTCATTTCTTTTGCAGTGTTTACTTTTTTTAAGCCTTTCCTATTCTTCTGTTTTTAAGGGAAGGGCAAGCACTGCTTCCCCCAATACCATGCTCAATAGCCAAAATCCTTCACCAAATTTTATGAGGGAAATATAGGTCACAGCTATACACAGACCCACGAAGTATTAAGGGTCAATTTCTACCTACGTAAATGCATAAATGATACATTCAGTGCGCAAGCGCGCAAGATTAACTCTATTCATTGAATGCTGGAGGAAATTACGTCGTTTGGCCGTTGAATTTTTAGTAATAGTATGTTTTGCAAACATTTTATCACTTGTAAAAAGACTCTGATCATATGCAGTCGGAGAATGTTTTGGAAACTCCGTCAGTTAACATACGTAATACATTTATGTTGACTACAGTAATTACACTACCTATGCGCGTTGCAAAGTCAATAGGCGTCGGTCAAATTACCGTAATACGACTGAATGAAAGAGACAGATCTCACTTTTTTTTATTTTCACTGACCTGATCGGGTTGAATTACTAGCAAACTGCGCACTGTGCGTATCGAAGTCCAGCACAGCCCACGCTCCGCCCTTCCCATCGTCCGTATATGCTCTCACCTATACAGTCATTAGTTAACATTTACGCCTCGCCGTTAAATACAAAATAAAACTGTTCAGCTGTCCCACCTGAAGAAATTAATATCTTTCATCTGTCTTCAAAACACAATCACCGAAGAATAGAGCTTGCTTGTTTTTTCTGTGATAACCCACAACTAACAGTTATTTTCTCCATCCGCTTCGTACTTCAGCCAGGAGTTGCTTTTACAACGCCTTATATTCTCAGTACTCCAAGACACAAAATGGTACCACTTTGACGCCATATACACCTTATTAAAAGTAAACAGGTTTTAATCTTGATTGGGGAAAAAGCGCCGATTCTGGTGCAGATATTCGATCTCAACCGTTTTTAACAATCTATTAGTAACCAGTTGTGTCTCGTGTGTTCCTCTGTATGATGTCATGATAAAACTTACCATTGCTGTATAATTTGAGGAGCTCTTGACGTCTTCCAGTTCCTTCGTATAAAATAATTTGTCCTAAAACCGGAGGAATAAAGAACATCTGTAAACAAATTAGTTTGGTGTCTGAAGTTGAGAAACTAATAAAGCTGAATTAAGTTAAACTTTGGTGCGTATATTACTACTGCACGGTTCATTGAAATCTGTAATGCAAAGTTGCTGTAGGGCTGCATTAGCGAGAGAAACTGGTTCTTCGTTCATGATGCATTACACCATTTCGCAACTGTGTTGCCAGGTAAGTGTTTTTCAGGGCACAGACAAGCAAAGCCAACCTGATTCAGGATCAATTAACCCTTGGGTTTAGATGCATACAGTTGTAATCGATAAAAAAGAAATAAATATAAAATGAAATAAATTCATCTGACAAAAAACAAACAATGAAAACGCTCCATGAATAATGCCCTGGTCGCTACCAACACAGGCTTTAGGACATTCTGTTGGATATCAAATAAAACGCGTAACCGCGAGCACAGTTGGCCGGATATCATATATAACCTCATTAAGACTGTCCCCTCATGCAAAACCTTAGGGGGCACAACACGAAGTTCCACAGGGATCCTTTGGATAAGGCCTCTTCCCCATAAAGCCTTAAGGAACCCTTCATGTTCCCTTAGAAACATGCTACAAGTTAATTACTTTAAGCGAAATGAAGAGTGAGATGTTGTGACGAATTGTCCAACGATATGCGTGCGCGCGCATACTGCCAGTCAAAGCAGCCGTCCGTGACCACCAAACACAGAAAATTATAACCATCGTACCCCCTGTACCGATATTTGTTTGACGGAAATAAACTTTGTCTGCGTCTGATTTGGGGGAATCAGTATCAAGTGACCAACACATTTGATTGAGGAAGCACCTGGCACAGGTCTAGTTTCGAACATAATTACCTGATCATGGAAAACCTTCAGGGGTAATTCTGTGGAAGTAGTGTTGTAGCGTAACTCGTAGAGTGAAATGTTGTCACTCACTTGAGACGAAGGACTCCAGGATAACACCACTGTGTACTGACCCATATCCGACACTGAAGGCGCTGCACAGTCCAACTGAAAATCCAAGGGTACCCCGGGTATTCGACGCCTTGAAGAAAATTCAGCCGTTAATGATACTCCTTTCATTACTTTAAAAAGATTCACGAAAAGTCGATTTTATTAGGGGATTTGTAAGAATCAAGGTTTCATTCCGTTTTCCCTGTTTAGCCATGCCATCCTCCTCTTTAACAAACTCTCCCATATCACGTGACAAGCTTATAAATTATCTCAAAGTGTTAGCTGGTGTAGAATTTTGGCCAAACTTACTTTTTCCTTCGCAGAACTCTTTGTCGCCAGTTTCCAAGTAGCAATCTGTCAAAAATAAACCTTATTATCAGGGACTTTCAGGAGGAGGGCAAAACTCGACCTTTGATTTTAGTTTCATTACTTTTTATGAACTATAACGACGGTACATAATATAGGACACAACACCCTTGTTACTAACAAGTTGGCGCTGAAGAAAACTGTCATGACATCCGGAACAGCAAGCAGTGTTCCCTTTGCATGTTTTTTATGGGGTTTATCACGCAGACTTTTATCGTTTCAGCTTTTGACAATTCGGTGAGGGCGCATTTAGTTGGGTAGGTATGGAAAGGCTGTCGATGAGACCGCCCTCTCACGTTTTGGAAGAACAATTCAAACTGAAAACACTCCAAGAACCAGTCCTTTCGGAATTTTTTTTTTTTTTGTGATCTTCAAGCGATATTGTGGAAAAGTCACCTGGAGATGGGTGAATAACGAATTTCGTAAACGATCATTCACTTTCGGTATCACTGTTCCTATGGGTTTCCCTGTTCATGCACATTTTTTTGTGCTTATGCAAAAGCAAGAATGAATAACGCTGAAAAAATTACCTACATGCTTCGATCGGTTTTAGATTCAATTGACCTTACCTTATGCAGTTCTGGTCAGCAAAGGTTAGAAGATTTTTAGAATTCTAGAATCTTTCGTACACAGAATGTTAAAAAACCGTAAAATGATAATTTTATTTTGGTCCGGTTTTATTTCAACTTTCACCTAAAGACTGCCTTAAAATATAATTTCGTAACTGCTCATCTGCGCACCAGAACTCCGGCTTGCAATAGTTGTCATTTTAGATTTAAGATTCGGAAGTGTTTAGCGTATCAGTGTTAATTAATGTACGGTAGAGGGTTTTTTGTGAAGCAAAGAATGCCCTGGTCATCACACATTTCTTCAAATCGTCTGTTGACATTTGCTCAAATGCAAATCGCGGCAAGTCGGCCATTTTTATTTTTCTTAAATGGAAAGGCCTCTCTATGAAAACCTCCTTGTGGCGCACTGTTTAACAAATTGCCGAAAGGGACATATGCGATAGCCCGTTTAATGTTGAAAAACTCGGTGTTAGGATTTCAACGGAGCGATCTGTCACGGAACAGCAGCTCCGTAATAATAATAATAATAAAAATAGTCAGTTCTTATATAGTGCATATCACGGAATATGCTCATATCGTCTGAACATTCCTGAAACCATTTAGGCTCCCTGGGGAGTGCACTACATAAAACAGTGCTTACTGCCGTTGGCAGGGGCCAATACAACTAACAGTGGCAATGTTATATTGGCCATCGGATCCGGGGAAAACAGAGAGGCTATAGTCAAAGCAGTTTACAAGAGAACTTATTTTACAGTTTATAACAGATAAATAAACAAACGTAATTTGAATATTCCTGCGATATTCAATTTGTTTTGGATTCCTTATTCCTTGATTTGAGAGCCGTAATGTTCAATCTTTTTTTTCCAATTTTCCTCGTAGAAATCACAGTCAAGTCAGATATTTGGAAATTGTACTCAATTTGATACAGGTAATGATAATTTGAAATTACATCACATTTTCCTATTATAATTATCTTAATCAAATTACATACAGAAAACATTTTGTAACTTAAACAAATATTTCAAACAAGCTGATAAAAAACCCAGGTTTTAGGAAAGAACGCTGTCAAAAAAAGAAAACAGTACATTTTACAAAGGAACAATAAGTGACTTTTTCATCAATCGTCATAGAATAAGAACACTTTCAATAAAAGCAGGCCAAAGGTTTACTCACCGGGTGAATTCTTTGTCTTAAAAACCTCTTTGGATTTTCGTTTGTTCGTCGAATTGCAGACTGTCGAAACCTAATTGAATTTAAAACACAGTGATAAACTCGGTCACCTTTGAGTTATGCACCTCGTTATTCAAGTTAAAAAATATAAGAAAAATAGTCAAGGAAATGAAGTGGTTCAAACGTTTGTCGAGAAAATAGCTAGAGATTTATCAATACTGAAAAAATGGCAAAATATCAATTTTGAGATTATAATTATGACGTCTTATCTCTCTTTGCAAAAACGCTTTTCTTACCCCGAAAAAATAAGTGTATCCAAAATGGAGACCGGTGAACAAGTAATATTCCTTCTCCTAATAAAAAAATACAAAAGTTAAATCACAAGAAAATACTCTGGTTCTCAGCTAAATTACTGCCATTTTTTCTTCTGCAAGCTGATTTTACCCCCACATTGTGACCACTGTGGTTTACTACCCACCACTGTTAACAAACGAGGCTTTTCAGAGAAATGACTCCGTTCAAATTTGGACCTAAAACCTGGTCGAGAACGTGTTGAAGTGAGCTTTTGTCATCAAATAAAATATGCTTCAATATAACAAATTTGGGCAATACCTAAATGTATAATAAATTTTCAAAATTAATATTTCCCAACAGCAAAAATCAGTACTCCCCTGGGATTCGAACCCAAAACACCCACTTCAGGCTAATCTTTTCTTGCCCACTACCGGTACGGTACGTGCGCTACGCAAACGCAAACCAGCTCGACTGAATTTCCGTGGTTTTCCTTCATTTTGTACCTATGACCCTACATAATGACGCTTTAACTCTATAAATGCAAACAGTGCAAAAACTCGCCCTCAAAAAGAGTGAGTCCCTCATAAAACCACGCTAAAAGACTGAAAACCACGCTAAAAGACTGAAAACCACGCTAAAAGACTGAAAACCACCCTAAAAGACTGAAAACTACGCTAAAACAGTGTGAAGCACTCCCAAAGAGTGAAATTTCCACTCGAAAAAAGTTGTCGTTACAAGGACAACGGGAAAAAAGTTGTCCTTTATACATAGCTCATCTTATGAAGTTATTCTCACTTTTTTGGAGTGGCTTTTCAATCTTTTGGAAGGGTTCATAAGGACGTACCCTTTTGGGGAGGGAGTTTTTTACCCCTGTGCCTTTAGAAAGTGAAGCTGTTAAGTATTTCAGGTGAAAACTAGTCAGGCCCCGTTCCGAATAGGGGCATTTCTCTGTAAAACCTTGTTTGTTAACGGGGCTGGGTAGTCGGATCTGCTGTTGAGGTTATGCGTTGCTGGTAACTCAGAGGCTGCTCTTTGTTTTTAATATCGTTACAATGAATGCACAAAAGAATTTACTTGAGCATATCCTAGAGGAAGGAAAAAATACGCTCTACATTGACGCCACGTGCATGAGGTCTATTACGAAGAAATCGCGCTTCCGTTCAAATTCAGTCATTGTAGAAACGCAATGATCTACAGAGTACGGCCAGATTTAGGTAGTCAAGAAGAGCAAGGCACTTTTACTTGCTAAAACCTGACAAATGGATATTTTGCCAAACGTTCGTCAAAGCATCAAATACCTTCATCTTTAGACCAATAACTTCCCAAAGTTAGTGAAGTTTCACCGGATTTATTAAAGGAATGTCGAATTTCAACAGCTCCCCGTTGGGGATCTGAAAAAATATATATCACCGAAACAAAAATTTCAAATTATATCTCACAAAAGAAATGTTTCTAGAAAGAGATCTTGTAAAACCCAACTTTCATGTCTTAAAAAAACTTGGGAAAATGCATCTTCTGTGAGCCTGATGTAAAGGTATTTTGTAAGAGCAATGTTTCCCAGAATTATAAACCTTGTTTCTTAAAATTGATCTCCCCAAAACAAACTAAAATTAAGTAGTAAAACAATCATCGAAAAACATGTTACATAAACACTTGAAAAATACATCGACTTTGGAATGTTTACACATACCTCACTTTTTGATGAATATTAAACATGTAATTTCGTATATGATTGCTATTCACCTGCTGCGTGTTTTGCGCTTTGGTAATCTTGTACACGAAACAGACGCGAACAGTATGGACACATTGACAGATAACTACCGTTTTCGTCAATCCTGCTAAGGAACAGTTATTTATCGACAGCTTTTGTGTGTTCCGATTCAAGTCAACTCGCACTGCATATCCTCCAAAGTCTAGAAAAAACAAAGGAAAATTGAAGATTGTGAAGTTACTGCATGATAAAGAGAGCTTGATATTGAAAATAATGAAGCCTTGACGGCTTAGTGATTGAGGATAAGCCTGGCTAAGTGCACGTCTGCACGTCAATCAGTAAGCACATAGCTTACAAGCTTGATAGACCTTCACAGTGAACAAAGGCACCAAGCATAGCTGAAAATATAATCACGGTCTAAGTGCATGAAAGAGAGAGGAAGAAGGTGTAGAAAAACAGACATAACATCCTGGGGGATATACGTAAATTTATTGTCACCTTAATAGAGCCAAAGTGTTAGCCAACTGTGCCGCTGCACATTTTCGGCAATGGTTATTGCCATGTATTTTTTTCTGATGAACCTTCAGGGGATTTGTTATTTCACTCCAATCTTACGAAAATCAGAAAAAGTATTCTGGCGAAATGCGCATTTTTCGAGACATGTCAGCCGAAAATGTTAACTTTTCAAATTGACAAGTACTATACAGAGATAAAACAATAAAACCCTGAATGCACGCGGAGGTTCATCTGTTCTTCCTTTTAAACTGGACCATTGGAAGGAAGAAATTGCGAAGAAAAAGGAATCCACCCTGTGACTGTGAGAAGGTCGAAGACAACCTGGCCCTCGTTTTGGGTTAATGTATTTTGGAAGATGTCGTGCTGCTTATTTTGAACAGTCGACTCGGTCTCTCTTCTCTCACTAGGGAGGGATAGCTCTTGGTGCACGGAGCAAAGATAGCTAGCTACAATGTAGTTCTTTTCGAAGTACAAAATAGTACAGCACGCGTATTAGCGAATGGAGCTCTCGCCCCACCCCATCGAGTTTCTAGTGCCGATTAAATTTGCTTGAGACTGTTGGAAATATGTGTGTTCCTGAAAGGAGAGATGATTCCCCTTACACATTTGAATGCAAACCGAGACGCTAAGAAATGATGGGCAGGCAATCCTGCCATCCACTCAAAGACCGCTTCATAATTGGCACGAGAGCCGACACGAATGTGGTTGTAATGTGACGTTAGATGACCAGCCTGTACCGTACCTTATGGAAGAATGTTTTTTTACCATTCAACAAGCGTGAGGGGGATTCCACCACCAAAGAAATTAACTTGGCTGTCTCGTGCCCATGGGTCGAAAATTGTCGTGGCGAGGGAGATTGTGCGTTCCTGAGATCTGGGAGAGAGCTACCGTGTGGCGGATCAGTCTCTAAGGGAGGTTCCAGACAAAAGTAGACCCAACAGATCTACCATTGACCACATCTCCGCTCTCCACCTAATCATTGAGAAGTGTCGGGAGTACAGAGGAGATCATCACCTGTTCATCGCCTTGATAGGTCTCAAGGCTGCATTTGACACGGTTGATCATGCATCCCTGTGAAAGATCTTCGATATCATTGGAGCATCCCCAAAGTTCACCCGTATGTTCCAAAGGCTCTATCGCGACACAGATCAACAGCGGGTCAGACAGGGGTGTGTAGCTGCTCCAGACCTCTTCAAATGCGTCATCGAACACCTGATGACGAAGGTTTGCAAGGTAATCCCCGGCGTATCATACGGCAACTACCACTTGGCCGACCTCGAGTATACAGACGACACCAACTTGTTTTGCCCATCCGTGGACCAACTCAGAGAGGCGCTCAGCTCACCTTGTAACACCATGAGACAGTCAAGCTCCGTCTGAAGGATAACTGGCCTGAGACCAAGCTGATGCCCATCGGCGATGGACCAGATCTTCCCCCTCTTCATGTGGACAGGGTCGAATTTTTCCCCTCTTCGTGTACCTCGGCTCGATTGTTACCAGCAACGGGGATCTTAGGCCTGAGATTGATCGGAGACGGGGCCTGGCGGCGGTGTCATGCAGTGTCTGTGGAAGCCTCTCTGGCGACACCGCACCATCTTCCGCCAGACAAAGCATGTGATCTACAGTGCCTCTGTTCTTTCCGTTAAGTTATTAGACGGAGCTGAGACCTGGCCACTGCACAAGACATTAGCTTCAAGGATTGATGGCTTCGACAGCAGATCTCTCCGCAACATTGAACACATCAAGTGGTACCACTGGGTCACGAATGACGAGCTGCGAGAGCGGACACGACAACCCCCAACCTCCTAGCTGCCAATCCAACGCCGCCTCCGATGGCTCGGTCATGTATTCCGTCTCCCACCAGACCATCCCACAAAGGCCATCCTCTCGTTCGACCCTACCGTTGCAGGCTGGAGGAGACCCAAGGAAGACTCCGCACTAGGTGGATGGACATCGTCCAGACCGACCTAAAAGACCTTTAGGGGCCAATATGGACAATCTCGAGGAACTGGCCCGAGACGGCCCATGACGGAGGGCCCTGGCGATTGTGGTGGGCTCTACACATGGCGATGACTCGGGTAATGTTTCCTTTCAACCCCCGCCACGCAAGAGCATTAAGTAAGTAAATAAGTAAGTCTCGTGCCCGATCTCTTTTAAAACTCGGCATGCGTTTTTAAAAGGTCCACAAATATGTGAGGTTTCAATTCAATTTACTTGATTGTTTTGCTGCTTAGTCATTTGAAGCACCTGTTCACGGGCATTGACCCGCGTGCATGGAGCTCGTCAATGGTTAAACTATTCAATTTGGGACTGACCTGTCTCGAAAAATGGCATGTTCGATTTTCAGTAAAAAAAACAAACTCTTGAAGGTTGGCATGCAAAGGAAAAAGTAGTGCGACAATATCGGAAAAATTGAGCCCCAGGGCGGGTTCCCTTGGCTCTTTCAGAGTTGAGGTCGGTTCAAACTTCAAATGTACGCACAAACGATCGAAACGAACGTGACGGCACAAAACGCATGCAAAACATGCGCTGGAGTTGAAATGTGTTTTAATGTAATCTGAAGTCCCAAAAAGATTTCTGATAATAAATAAACGTTTACCTTCATTCTCGCCTGGCTTTCTTGACCATGTGACATTTGCCACCAGTTCCCATTGGTTACTACCGTTGTCTAATTTCAAAGTATTAAATTCAGCATTGACTGATTGTTGCAAAATATCTGAATAGACAAAGAACCGAAAACATACTATAGAATCAGAGGTCCGTGTTTGAATAAGAGACAAACACGCAGTGTTCGGGCACTATCAATCTAACGACATTACAGAGCTATGACGTTTGAACCATTTGATACAAAATAACATCTGCCATTGTCTGAATGAATCTGATCTGCTCTCCAGTTGTTGTGTATAGGCCTAAATGTAGTTGTATTTTATATTGCCGTTTGCACATGACCACATTAACACAACATGCATCTGTGACAAATCCCAGCTTATCCTGATATACGTTTACACGGGTATAGGGCATGTCAAAAGTGTACCTCTAAGGCCTGGTAATTCGACACGGGACTACATGATGATCCCCACACATATTGCTATTATGCCTCAACATATCCTTGCACATGAGCAATTCATGTTGAAACATTGCTATTGGTTTGACAAAAATTAAAATATACAGTATCTAAATTGACAGGGCTAATCGTATATGTTAAACTGCAGCTAGCTACCAGTCCCTATATAACAGGGACGGGGACTAGTCTACCGGGTGAGGTCATCCTGGTAAGTATCCCCTTGCTGTGATGGGGTAGGTTTTCCACTGAGCACCAAAAATTCCCTCCGGAATCACCCGATCCGACTACCCATCGCTACTTATAAGTGAGCACAACACTGTCACGTGACTTTAAAAGACTTTCTAGAATGGATTAACACTCCTTGTACGCAGCACACCTGCAGACGTTTCAGGAAAAAAAAAACTTTTCTAAAGTTTTCCCGAGAGCCATGTGTTCGGCCGTCACGCACACGAAAGTTGTGTGTAAAATATCATCTCGATAAATACAAAAAGCAGTTGCGCCTGTGCAGAACTAAAACAACCATGGACCCCAGAAGCAAGCTAGCTACGGGTTCCTATGCAATAGCGACGGGGACCAGTCCAAATAAAGGGTGCTAGCACCAGACCATTTCAACTGCCTGTTGCTAGGCATGACACTACAATGGCGTCGACGAGTACAGTTATGGATTTCCATCATTTTATGAGTTGAATATTGATGAGGTGTTGTAAAGCAAATTCAGCATCGTTTATTTCCGGAATAGTCCAGGCATTACTCACCCTTCGCTGTGGGTCAGCTGGACTACCTCTGATTTAAGACTTTTAAGTAAAAGTCTTCGCTAACTTTAATCCCTCCTTTGCCCTGGAAGCGAAGGTAAGAGACTTCGATATTCCCCGAAAAGTTTATACAGTATACTGTCTCAACGAAAATATAGAGAGAATTATTGTCCATTAAAAAAGTGGACAGATTGACCCCTACACACACGCACACATGGAATTGTGTATTTGCCTGCAACTGGGGACCCCCTATTTTTC